AAACATTAATGCATCGATTCCTTTCGCCTTAAAGATACTTCAAAAATGCAATTCTTTATACGAAGTTTTGGTATTAAAAGCACCCATTACTTTATAGCTATTGGCATTGATTAGCTATCGATCTGTAATAAGTAAGCTATCGATAAAACGCTCAAAAACCAAAATGAACCAAAAAAAAAGTCCAAATCATTTGTGTACCGTTAACATTGAAATTTGTTTTCATTATGCAGATTAAGTTGATCAATGTGGACTTATTATCATCGCTGATTTATGCAGCGCTAATGCATCTATCGATATTTTTAAATCTCTAATACCCATCTTTACAAACACACGCGACCCACTCACACAAACACAATCGATTAATGTGCTTGGCATTTTGAAAATAAAAAAAATATGTAAAGCCGATGAATAAACGTTGACAAGACAGACGCAAAAGAAAAAAAAAAACAAATTAAATGACAACAGTCAAGCAAAGCAGGCTACATTTAAATTAACTGACCTTAACCGAGTTAATGCGGCAAATTATAAAAAAGTCGTAGCACAGAAAAATAATAAAATATAAAATAATAATAATAATAAGCAAAACAGCGATAAAAGCGACGAAACTGAAAATAAAGTGCAATAACTTAATGCGAAAAATGATTGCAACATAAATTACAATCAAAAGTTTTAACACATGTGCTAATAAAGTGTTAAATTTAAGCGAGGTTTTGGCAAAATGACAAAGCGAAATAAACGCAGAAACAGGTTCAATTCTATTTACAAAGGTTTCTAGTCGCACAATTTAAATATACATTTGTATAAGTGGGCTACAAACTAAGAGATTTTGCAGCTTAAATGCAAGTCTTCACATTTCAATACAATTCTAAAATTTAAATGCCAATCAAATGTGATCGAAATGAGAAGCTTTCGAGTTGAAGAAGCCTTCTTTAAGTCTTTGAAATAGGAACAAAGAATCGTAAATTTGTCGAAATAATTAGCTTCCGAAGCAATAACACATTTTGTTTTAAACCTTCTTTTCATCGACGTCCTTATGAAGCTAAATCAGGCAAATATGGGAGGTGGTTGATGGTTAAGAAGCGATTTTTTGTCAACAAATCAGTCTAGAATCCATTTCCATTAATTTTACAAAAGATGTTGAGTGATTTTTGATAAATTGACGTACTTTTTCGACTGCACGACCTTTCTACACTGTTTACCAGTTATGGATTGTGTCCCAAGATAAGCCAGCTAGGCATATTTTACTTGTACAAAAATTAAATCATAGTCATGAATATCTCATTAAAATTGCTCCCAAGTCTTTGCTACGAATATTAAAAGAACAGGTACTATTTGCATATTCTTTTAAATACTTTTCATATATATAGTAATGCACATAGTTCCAGAATTAATATTCCTACAAGAAACGAGAATGTTAATCTAGTCATTTAAATGAATCGATAAATAAAAAGAAGTCGTGAGGAATATCTTGAAATTTCACTTTCACGTAAGCTTTAGACGCCAAAATACTTTCAGAACGGTTGTGGATTCTGTCTTCTCTTCTCACCCGGCAGAAAGTGTTGCCAAAATGACGAAAGTTCTACAGACAATGAAGGCTATACGCAATATAGGTATAGCTTGTGTATATATGTATATACTCCTTCCGTCTTCAAACTTGGTACAACAGCAATGGCAGCGGGCAATGGGAGGGGTGTAAATGTATAAAAATCAAAAACAAAATCACGAAAAATACCCAACATAACAGCTGCCATTTAAAATTCAGTACAATAACTATAATGACGTCGATTGTTGGTGTTGGTAGGATTGCTGAGCTTGAAGCTGGACGGACGGACGGACGGTCGTGCTGCTATTATTGAATTTTTCAACTGAGTCGCACTCATTTCAAATTCATTAAGACGCTGTTAAAAGCTAGACTGACTTACTGACAAACGCGCTGACATCCAGACAATTATTCGTTTACGAGTATATTATGTACATACATGTATGTATATACATACAAGTATGTATGTATGTACATATATATGGTATGTGGTGTGTAAAGTGCGCCCAACTGCTTTGTGACTGACTTTAATGAGCAAATCGTATAAAAGTTGGGCGAGAGAGTTTGAGCGCCACTCAAGGCATATCAAACAATTGTCACAGAAAGTATGACAGACAGCTTAAATATGATGGATACTTGCTAATTATAATGCCATATGCCTGGCAGCCAGTCATCGGCCTGATGTGGGCGGCCGCAACTTTGGCAACAGTTTGTTGCAAAGAGAGCCAACAACTGACAAAAGTTTATTTTTGCCACACCGTCGTAGTCGAAGCCGAAGCCGAAGCTGTGGCTGTAGCTGTAGCTGAAGCCGAACACAGACTCAGAGTCGACGGCAGCGTCGGCATCGGCGTCAACGCCAACATTCGACGTCAACAGCGGCATTAACTTCCGTCTGCGTGTAAAGTCAACTTCCGCGCTGACTTTTTGAGTCAATTAAACAGTGAGGAGAAGCAACAACAACAACAACAACAGCAACAGCAACAGAGGCAACTCTCAGTGAGTGTCTCAGTAAAATGAATGAAGCTACCAGCCAACCAACCACCTTGCGCGTAGTTTTGAACGCACTCAACTTTTTCTTAGTTAACTTTTTAAAAACGTGACAATTTTATTGTTTGATATTAAAATGTTGCCAGTTGGCAGCAACTAGCAACCTGCAACCTGCAACCTGAAACTGAAACCTCTAGGCATCAACTACACTTGCAGAATCCGCCGAAAAATAATTAAACCTCTCCTGATATTTTTTTGACGTTACAACAATATTATTTATTTCAAAACCTTTTACTTTTTCTCTTCTCAAAAATAGCCAAACTTTATTAACTTTTATTAAATAACCTTCCAGACCACTTCAAAAATGTTTATAATTTAATCTCATTTAATATTTCATGATGCGTTTTTTCTCTTAGACAAAAACAAAAAATAAAAATAAATTAAAAAAGTAGTTGGAAGAATAGTTGAAATGTCCCCCACTTTCAATGACATTAAATAAATTATGCCATTTTTATTTCAAATGTCAATAATTAAAAACATTTTTGAGACCAGATCGATGTCATATTACTTTTTCTAGGCAAATAATTCTTGAAGTGAAGTATATTAAATATTTATTAAATATTAAATAGGTGAAGAATATTATAATTTATTAAATATTATTTAATGACATTTTTGGTACCAGCTGGATATCCTATCATTATATTTTCTATGTATAAGAGAAAAAAAACTCTTGTAGGTACATATTTCTTATGCTTAATAACATTTTTGTTCCCACTTCATTTTTAATTAAATTTTGATTCTACGTCGATGGCCCACTAATTGTACTAGAATGTGAAGTGAGAACTGGAAATAAATTCAGTCCATTGTAACCCTCAAACTGTCTTCCAAAATGTTTTCAATATATATGAAATATGTGTTTATTTGAAAACAAGTACAACAAATCTACAATACATTACAATTTAGAATCAATGTTGTTGAGATTAATTAATTAATGAATTAAGTTATTATAAACGTGTTATATTAGATCAGACTGTTTTATTTATATTTTTCAAGTTAGAAATCTGTGAAATACTGAGTCGAATGTTGATTACATTTTTCTTTAGTTGATTTAGTTGATTTAGTTGATTTCTCGCAGTGTAGACAGCAATAGGCCAAACTGCTGGTGAACCTAGCTTCTAGGTACCATAGTACAGGTACACGGTACAGATGCCTCCTCCCTCCCCCCTCTCTCACTATTTCTATCTTTCTCCCGCTCTACCCTGCCAGCACCCACTTAATGAGCTAAAAGTTGGCGCAAAGTTTTTCAATTGTTGAAGTGTTGATGCTATATTATTAGATTGTTGCTGGTATTTTGTGCACCTTGACAATTGTTACAAAAGACGACAACAAAAATAAAAGCAACACCAACACCAGCACCAGCACCAGCAACAACAGCAATGCCCACAAAGTGCACGACTATTATGTCTCATAACTGTTGTTGTTGTTGTTGCTGTTGTTTTTCTTGTTGCCGCTTCTGTAGGCATGCCTAGTGACTCGTGCTGTTGATTGTCGCAAGTTATCATCACCCGCCCAGCACCTTACCACCCGCCCTACCCCCCCCCCCTTCCCCCAGCCACCCTCCGTCAACTATTTTGCTCAGCCCTATGCAATTTTAATGCAATTTGAAAATTTATTGTACAATATTTTCTTAAGTTAGCGTTGAAAGTGCCATTAGGTTAACAACTTTTCGTGTAGTCATTTAAGTTGAGTTCATCGAGTTGCACGTGATGAGGCATGACATTGAAGAGTGCAAGAAATTGACACGAAAGTTAGGGAATTGCTGGGCAACTGATTTTGGGTTGATGTTGGGGGCAGCTCCCCCACTTTACGAACAGCACCAACAAATGCAATACAACAACAAAAAAGTGCTTGAATGAATGGCAATTTGTAGAAAGTAAACAGGCTTTGGTGCGGAAAATATGGCGCCCAATGTGGGGCAGCAAATCGTAGCAAAGGTTCGAGCAAAGATACTTGTAAATAGATTAAAGATAGTTACAATCTGTGTCTGTTTAATTAAGGTATACACATTTTCCAAAGATCATAATTCTACTTAAACATGCCCGTGCTTCAATTACAAGCCATATATCGCTTGTTAAACACATATTCTAATGCGGGTTTCCCCCAAAAGTAACTCTAAGTCTTCAAATTATAAATGGGCATGCGGCAAACTCTCGCCTACGAGGCTATTTATTATGACCGTTTACACTTGAAACTTAATTACAAACAAAAATCAGACTCAGCAACTCATTGTCCGAAAGTGAAAGTCTTAGACGGCTCTTTTGGTTGTGGGTTTGCATTGGCTGCCTCATTTTGGTCAGCCAAACAATTGCAAATTGTATTATTCAGTCTGTCAATCAGTTTATGTAAGTAATGTAAGAGACGCAACCTTGTTCGCTGTAATCTAATTGTGAATCACGATCTTGGACTATTACAGGAAATCGATGTCTTGACACTTGGCGCCAAAGACCAAGAACAATTGATAGCCGATCGCAACAAAAGAACAATTGGACTGTTGCGCGAGCTGTTCCCCGACATTACAAAGGTATGTACAGTAGCTGCCTTCACTATAGTATTTAACTCAATTTATATGTATAGCGTATTTCTTATCAAATGTCAGAGTGTCAGTTAGAAGAATGCCTCATAGCTGTAGTGCACACACCCACACATCTATTATTTAGTTTTGTATATTTTTTTTATTTGGTTTTGCATTGTTTTGTGCGCTTTGTGTGCAGCGCAGCATTGTTAATTTTGTATGCCTAAACATTTCCTAGGAAGTCAATATGCAAATCAATCGTCTAGTCAATAATATCTTACAACACCTTGGTCCCATCGTCTTGGGCACGGTTTTGAATCCAACGCTTGAGCGTAACGAGCAGCGCCTGTTTGCAATACGCAACGAAGACTCTGATACTGATACTGATGACGATGATGATAATAATGCTGATGATGATGACAAGAATACTGACAGCGATAAGGACTACGAAAGTTTACCACCAGAGCTAACCAATTTTGAGCCCGATCTCGAGTTCGAATCGACGAAAAAAAAGGATACTTAATCATATATGATGCAGTCCGAGTGCTCCACTTATATATACATATATATATCTCTTTCTTATGTTAACCAAAGACCCATAAAGGCACCCAAGAAAACAGAGTACCTGGCTTTAAATTAAGTGCCCAATCGGTTGTTATTCTATCTCTTGGAAATAGTTGATTATTTCATTTTGTTATGCACCCAATATCGTTGGCGGAAGATAATGTTGAGATTCCTCCCTGTAGCTATGCATGTCTAAGGTCTAAAAGTGCACGTATTTAAAACATTATACTATTCTCCACATAGAGCACCACCAAATGCATGAACCCTGCTATTTAGATAATACTTATGTAGCTGCACCCCAGTAGCCTAAACTTTGACCTCGAAAACACATACAGTATTAAAACAGTAAGAAGTTAAAAATAACATCAATATCAATATCAACAATCAAGAAACAACAATCAGCAATACGAGCATTAAACAAACATTAAACGCGCCACAAGTTTTCAGCAATCCCATCAAACAATTGGCTAAATGAATGCGAAGAATGAGCAAAATTAAAGCGCCTCAAAAACCACAATAGCCGCAAACAACAACCATACTTGTAGTATGATTTTAACAACTACTATATACTTGTAATATGGACGTCGCACCATCGCAACATCAAAGTCATTCATGGAAACCGTAACAGAAACAGAAACACAACGTTTTCAGAAAATGCAGCCAAGTCAAGTTTTGCATATGTATGTCTCCCACTCTCTCTCTCTTCTCTTTCTCTCTCTCCCTTTCTCTCTCTCTCTCTCTCTATCTATCTATCTGTGTGATTCTCCTTAGGAAATCGACTCAATAGTTAATCGCATTATTGCCCAAGTAATACGCGTTGCCGGTCCCGGCGTCCTTAACAGTATCTTAGCGGGTAATCGCGGCGGTGCTAGAGGTGGCAGCACCACCCCCGCCGACGATGACTTTGATGTCGACTTTGATGAGGACGACGATGATGACACCAGCAGTAGCAGCAGCAGTAGCAACAACAACAACAGCAGCAGTGGCACTAACAACCGCAGCTCTACTGGCAACGACAACGCCAATGCCATTGATGCTGGCAATGATGGCGGCTCTAGAGTCAAAATCGATTTACCCACCTTTGCTCCCGAAACGGCAGCGTCGAGCAACAAAGTGAGTCCGCGCAAGACCATAACAAATGAATCGGCAACAACCACCACCACCCCCTCCGTAACAAGAACAACAACAACAGCAACAACAACTGCTGCTTCTACTACTACTACTACTACTACCACTGCAGCTAGTACTAGTAGTAGTGCAACAACAATCAATAATGTATCCAATAGCATGATCATACCAATTCCAACTACCATCACCACTTCGCCCAGTCCCATGAGTTCTAGTGTTGAGTCTGTGCCCGAACAGTTGTTGTCTAGATTTTTAGGCGATGAGCCGCTGACAACAACAGCCACCACAACAACAACAACTAGCACAACCACTGAAATTCCCATCACAACTACAAGCACAACAATTAGTGTCATAAATCCCAGTACCAATGCCATTCAATCAGTTGATTATCCCAACAACAACAACAACAACTACAACAATAGCATCGATGACTCACAATTGCTAACAATTATAGCTGATATAAATCGTGTATTAAATTCTACCAATTATTTTATTACAACCAGAGATAATTTAACAACCACCACAACAACAACAACAACAACTCTGTCAACACCAACAACAAAGGCTACTACAAATGAAAACAACAACAACATAAGTCAAATAACGAAACTATTGCCGATCTATGATTGATTCTAAAGAAAAAATAATAAACAAACAACCACCACAACATCTTCCATCCAAAGGATTTACGCAAGCGCAGTACAACAACAAAAACAACCACAAAAACAGCACTCCAGTAACAACAACTCAAGTCTGTAGCATAACGCGTTGCGTTCAACCCTACCTCTCCCCCATCTCCGCCCACCTCCGCCCAACACCCCCTTAAAAAAGAAACAACAACAAATTTAGCTCCCCTCCCCCATCAAGACTAACTTGTTGCATATTTAGCACGCATTCAAACCCATATGCATTGTGTGTGTAGTCTAGACAGCAACCGGCCTGAATTTTATACACACCATCTTTTTGTCCATGTGCTTTCGTAGCAACGACCCTTTGAACTTAGGCGAACGGCCTCTCCCAACCGTTTTATTAAGCATATTAAGTTTTCTTATCCGAAATCAATGTATTGCATTGCAAAAAAGAAAAAACAAACCGAAACTAATCTTTACACTGTCCAACATGCCCAATTTTGCACACACACACTCACACCAACGACACATACCAACGATTCACAAAATACAACCTTTGCCCCGGTTGTTGTAGCAAATTGATGAGCAAGCGAATCGCATAATCTCGAAACTGTTGCGCACTCTGGGACCAACGGTGCTGCGAACGGCCATTCAGGGCAACACCGCGAATAGCGCACGCACCACTTTCGATGCCGATTTCGATGACGACGATGACGATAACAAGACAGACAGCGGCAGCAGCGGCAGTGGCAGCAGCAGCAGCGACAGCGACAGCGGAACTCGCGTCTCCATCGAATTGCCAACATTTGAGCCTGATGATGATAATGAGGTTGACGCGGATGCCAAGACGTCATCGGGTACAACAACAACGACGACAACCACCGAGGCTACACGACGACGATAGAGACACAAAGTGCGTGTAATTTGCTACAACAACAGCGCGTTTTGCAAATTCAAATTACGACAATTGGTTTTAAATAATTTAAAAAATGTATATCAAATTTTTCTGCAGCAAAATTCTCAAGCAATTGGCAACAACAGCAACAACATGATCAACAACAGCAACAACAACAACAACAACAACAAATCAACAACCACACACATCAAAATGAAATTAATTTAATGAACAACAAGAACAACAACAAAAATTTAATAACTTGTTAAAAATTGGCAATGTTTTATTGTATTTGTTTCGAAATTACTGTATTATATTATTTTTTACACTGGTTCTCAATACACTTTGATATGCACAACATCCTTTTATCTGTCTCCCTCTCTTGACTATCTTATCTGTTCAGCTATGTATCTGACTCATTCTCTCATTCTATTTTTCTCTATTGCCCTCGCCTGCTCTCTTTCGCTCTCTCATTCTCTCTCTCTCTTTCTCTCTCTGTATCCTGCATTCTTTTCGGTCTGTCAGTCTCACCTGCGCTCGCTGAGTAGCCAATCTATCGAAAAGCTATTGTAGCTCTTTTCTCTTGCTATAGTGCTTTTTCGCTCTCATTCTCTCTTCACTCTCGCACATATTCTTTATAATTTAAGTTAATAGGTGTTTTTATTACATATATACAAACAAACATACTTATATGGTAGAAATTTAAGTCATTTACAATATTACATCCTCAATTAAATATTCTTATCCGCGGTTATCTGTAGAAGCCTCCCTGCGAAACACTCTGGTGCCTAGACACATACAAAGACAATGATTCGAGAGCCACTTTCAAGTTCTCCGTCACTGCTCATAAATGCCCACAAATCGTACACCTTTTCCCGTACATTTTGTTCCATGCTTAAGCACCGCACTCATTATTATCGCAACTGCACTCAAATCAGTCTCGGCTACAAATGTGAGTGTCTTTATTCGTACATATGAATCCACTCACTTTGCATCTTGCACTCACACCTTGTGCCGATCGCCCCCACATGATTTTGCATAATATACAAACCAAATGAAATGAAGGAGCAAAAACAAAAGAATTTTAATGTTTTTTCTATTCCAATAGCGCATTGGAAACTGTACAGTAAACGTTTTATTTTCAAATTCAAATATTCTTTCTACTATGATTTAGTTTCTTCTATGGAATCGAGCGCATGTTGTAGGCAAAGCCAAAAATTTTGCGTTGTACACCCACGCAAACCATTTAGCTCTTTGATACAACATGCAAAATACGCTCTCTCTCTCTCTCTCTCTCTCTCTTATTATCTTTATCTCTCTCTCTCGCTCTCTATCTTTCTATGAATCTATTTATTTCGCTGTTAAAGTATTTGTTCTCTTGATTACTTACTCGCTCGCTGTCTGTGCTACTATTTATGAAATTGGCTTTATTTGTAGAAAATAAATTTCAATAATGCTCACGGCTTAACTACTTTTGTTTTTCTCTTTTGTTTATTTTGTATCTTTTTCTCTTTATTTTCATGTTCCATTAAACCGATTCGATTTGTGCAAATAACACAATGATCTAAACCAACTACAAAATATGATAATAATAAAAAAAAAAACCGAAACAAAACCAAATACCTCAAACACCTGTTATAAAACTTAAAATCAATATCAAAATGAAATCATCAACTGCAATCAATCAAACAAATGCAATATTCCAAATGAATCAAACGCAAACTATACTATATACAATAATACATTGCATTATGTGCACGTGCATTTCCATCAAATAACTCGAACAATAATAACAATAATAATGATAATTACCAAAACAAATGGGAAACATATACAAAAATATGCCGAAATACACACACACACACAACCAACCAACCACCCACCAACCCACACACACACACACAAACAATTCCTTAACCTTTATGTTCATGAATTCTCAAAACAAAACTCATATCATGGCGCTAAAAAAATCAAAACGTTCTTCCAAAACTCACCGAAATGCACTCAAAATGCGACTCGCTCTCGCACACGCTCTATCTATATTGCCTATTCACTCTGACCTACACAATACAAATGAACATACATAACGATCTACGCTGTGCCAAATCCTTTGTTCCACTCCAACACAACAACACCCCGTTCCCCAATCCACTTTCTACACATGAAATGCACATAATCAACTGCAAAATTCAAAATTTTTTAAATGATACGCCCAATGCCTCTGCAAATCGTATATATGTACACATATATGCATCAACTAAATCGAAACAAACAACAAAAACATACCTGCCCCTCCACAACACCACCAAAACGACAACAAACACCGCAGAACGGCGCCACCGATACACAAATCGATTTATCGGCGATTAACAAACAACTCGAGGAGACAATCCGTGTAGCCCGTCAAGTAAAAGAGGCGGAAGCAGCCGCCGCTGCTGTAGCCGCTCAGGCAGCCAGCGTCTCACCCGTGGCCCAAGCTCCCATACCCCTCAAATCGAACGAACCCATCCAGCTAAGCTTTAACAATGAGTTGCCCACAGTGAACGCAGGCAGTGGCAGTAGCGGTGCCAGCAATGATGTCAAGGCGCTCAACAGCAACGATTTGCAGCTATCGGAATCGAAGTCGCCGGCCATTGACGAACTGACGCTCGACTCGGCGGAAGAGACGGCCGATTTGGATGATAGAAACAAGAGGTAAGACTCATCGCTAGTTATCCCCTAAACAGCGCGCGTACAATATCAATCACACGAACAAACCACACGCATCATTGGCAACCACACATACCTATTATCGATTGTTAATCATCGATCACATTAACTCTAAGCCCTTGAAATTTTGAGACACAACACACCCAACTAATCGAACACTTTTCGCTTCTGACGTCCCCCCAACAAAACCGCAAAAAAAAAGTAATCTTTTCAAAAGGTTCCTAAGCTTCGGCGGAGCTGGTCTAGCGGGCGGTTCAAGCGGTGGTGCCGGCGGCGCTGCTGGTGGCAATAGTTTGGGCGCCGGCGGTTCGGGCAACTTCTTGCTGGATGTGGTGCGCGTAAGTATTAACGTTAAGAAAATTCTAACAACTATAGAGAACTACAAACTAAATATTGTCATTATTGCCAAAACTAACAAATTAATATATGTACATACTTAGTTTTATAAATTTATATAGGAACTACTATTGATATGTTATTTTCAGAATATTGTGGTTAGTTCGAGCACGTTTCGACAGGTAGTTATTGAGAGAGAACGGCACTCTTTTAAATCAATTCCAATTTTAATAGAATTTTATTCATGCAAGAATTCTGAAACTATTCAATTTAAGCAAGTTGCTAATAAAGAATGGTAATGATCGATTCAGCCAGCTTAGACAAGCATTAGTTGTATAGACTTAAGACGGAGAAGAAACGGCATTTTTCAAAATCAACTTAAACATAAATACAAGAAATTTTGTATCGGAAGTAATAAACATAAGCATAAAGGTAAATTTAATTTCTTAAGCCCTCTCTCTACAACGCGTTTCTCTCTTAACTCTCTTCAGCTGTTTTTGAGCTTTTCTCCCAGATTTTAGAAATGAATTTCTTTACCATTATCCTAATTTAGGAACGGAACCAATACAGCTGTTCTTTAACTTTTCTCCCGAAATTTAATTGAATATTAATCCCTGTTTCTACAACGCGTTCCTCTCCCAACTCTCTTCAGCTATTCTTGAGCTTTTTTCCCAGATTTTTTCTTAGATTTTAGAAATGAATTTCTTTACCAATATCCTAATTTAGGAACGGAACCAATACAGCTGTTCCTTAACTTCTCTCCCGAAATTTAATTGAATATTAAGCCCTGTTTCTACAACGCGTTCCTCTCTCAACTCTCTTCAGCTATTCTTCAGCTTTTCTCCCAGATTTGTTCTCAGATTTTAGAAATGAATTTCTTTACCATTATCCTAATTTAGGAATGGAACCAATGCAGATGTTCTTTAACTGTTCTCCCGAAATTTAATTGAATATTAAGCCCTCTCTCTGCAACGCGTTCCTCTCTCAACTCTCTCCAGCTGTTCTCGGGCAGTGTGCAGACCCAGCAGGGCGATGAGGCGGCCAACAGCGTGAGCGGCAGCGCAAGCAGCGGCGGCAGCACAGACGACACTGATGCCAGCGGCGACAGCACACGTACTGCCGATGGCTATACCGAGGGTATTCCCGGCCCAGTGACGCGCCTGGTCGTTCTGGCCAATCGTGGTCTGGCAAATCTGGTTCAGGACTTGATATTGGTAAGGGGGGATTGGCTGGTTGCACATAATGGGGAAGTAATTGGCTAATGGAATTGTTTCCTTTTTTTGTTTGTCTTGTTTTACAGCGCGTGGCAGCCACCAGCGAGAAGTTCGTGAACTTCAAGGCCAAATTGATAACGGCCCTGATCTAAGGAGGGGCACGCAAAGCCTGCGTCCTTCTGCCTGTGCTGCCCATGCTAATCCCTAACAGCGTTTAGTCAAGTCAACTCACTCAACTGTTCAGGATTTGCTCTCCACAACAAAAGTCAAAAAACAAAAAAAAAAACATATTCACTCACTCAGACACTCACACACACTCACGCACTTGTATCAGACACACAGATACATACACAAATCCATGTTCACAAAAATGTCTATTATTTTGTTGTGCATCATCGTCTGGCCCAACACAAACCAACAAAAATAATGATATATATAAACCACTTTTTAGCAAAATTATATTTTCTGCCTTGAAATGCTCTCAAATGCATTAAACATGAAAAGCAAATTAGTTAAAGTAGTTAAAAACAAACATACATATGCGAAGAAAACAAAAAAAATTATAATCGAAATTTAAACAAAAAACAAAATCAAGCAAAATTTATTTATTTCTTTTGGTACGAATATAAATCGACGAAAAAAACACAATTTATTATACATACTACATACAAACATATACATACATATGTATATAAATATATGATGAGAAAAGAAGAAGAAAAACGCCTATTGCAAAAATAAAAAAGAAAACTGTCAGCCACTCTCTGCCACGCTCACTCGTTCTCTCTATTCCCCCCTCCCCCCCCTTCCCATCCCATCCCCTCCAACACTTCACTCCTACAATCATTTTCTTTCTCTATCTCTCTCTCTCTCTCTCTCTCTCTGTTAATCACACTTTTGTAAATATTTTGCTACTGCCTAACTCTGTTCTTTTTCACTTTTCTCTCACTCTCCCACTCTCCAAGTTTCCGCTCTCACTTTTGATATTATTTCCATTCTCTTTTATCGTAAATGTTGTTTGCATTTTCCTTAATATTTTTTTTTTACTTAAAAATCATGACTGTGGTGTTTTATTTACTATTATTTTTAATTATATTAAAGACACATGCGTTAAAAACCTAATTTTACATAATGAAGTGGAAGTACATACACACACATAGAAGAAAGCAATATACAGAAAGCGTTCATTCTGCTTAACGACAACATTTTTACATATGTACATACATACTTATGTATGTACATATGTTGTTGTTGGTGTCGCAATACACACACACACACACACATGATCGCATATATCGACAATATACAACAGCCTATATAAATACATACATATGTACATACATAACATACATATTCGTACATAGAGATTGTATGCAATATTGGAGTTTTCAAAAAAGTCAACAAAGCGCAGCTTGCAATTAAATTGTTTAAACATTTTTTCACCTTCTGTCTAACTGGAGTTGTTTAATTTAAGCGAAATGTGTTTTTTAATGATTTGTAGCAGCTTAAGTGAATTTTTTATGTGTATAAATAAACTAAATAAACATTTTTTATTGTAACCGCAAACTGTTTTATTTGACAAAAAAATCCACAAATGTTAACACATTTATTTTTAATGCTGCAAGTTCGTTGAAAAGTTGATCGCCGAAGCACTACTAAATTAATTTTTGAAGGTATATTTATACGTTTCCGTGTAACCTAAATGTTTGTCTAATAATTAAAATTCAAAAAACAAATGTAGAGGTCTTATTAATTATCGGTTTCTTGGCACCGTTTAGAGCAAAGAAATATTTTGCCGTTGAACTTCAGCATTAGAGCTGTAAAGCTAAGTTTACACCAAAAACAGACAAATTACCTCACTTCGAATAGCCTTATAATAAAGGTGATCCTAAGTTAGGTTGGATTGCGATTGAGCTCGCCCATGCATTCGCTTAGAAAGGATTATCTTAGAGTGCCAAAGATTTGTATGCAAATTATTCGCATCTGACCGTAGCTTAATTGTAAAGTGTCTGCTGCTGTATTGCGTTTTGAAAAGAAAATATTCTCAAATTCGAGCTCCTCTTGTAAAATAAAGGAAGTGTCCGCACCACATGTGGTCGGACCTTTGCTATAAATACTTTCAAGGGTGTGAGCTACTTCCGGAGTGTCTGACCACTGCCACCACAAAAACAACATTATTTACATAACACATACATACATATTTATGTATATATGTATGTATGTACATTTGTATTTGACGATCGCAAAAAATTCCGTTTACTTCTTGCATGGGAAATGGAGTGAAATAATGGAAACGATATCGCTAAGATTTTCCCCCTCTTTTCTTTTTCTTTGGGCAATTAGTATTGCACAATCGAAATGCTTGTGCATGCGATATGTAGACACAACAAAGACAACAACAGCACCAACAAAAACAACAGCAATATGTTAAGTGAGACAGCGGCACGCGTCTTCTGTGTGGTTCTGTGCATGAAAGGGAAGGAAGGATGCAATGTTGTGTCAGTGTATGTGTGTGTTGGTGTTGTGTTTGTTTTGACAAGTGTGCGCACGAGTACCGTTGGCCACTCTTGCGGTTCTTTGTGCGGGTGTGTTGTCGTTGTTGTTGTAGTTGCTCTTCTTTCTATGTTTGTGCGTGTGTGTGTGTTGTATTTGTTGGTATTCCATGCACAATTTGTCGTCACTTTTGATGACTTAATTCATTTAGCAGACACAATTACATAAACACATATGTATGTATGTACGTACATTTGTACATATGTACATAAATAAACGCTAAGCTGAGCTGAGCTGAGCTACAAAACAGCTGTCGTTTCTGCTGACCGCGCTGACGTCGATGGTCATTAGTTCCTTCATTCATTCTTCAACCATTCACTCATTCACATGGACATGGACGCATATAACACTGCCGGCTCCAACTATCTGCCCACTGCCTTCTCAAGTCTGACTCCACAATTCGGCCATGGAACCGATAGCAATAGTAGCGGCTGTTCCCTGGACTCCATGAGTGGTGGGGATGCTGGCGTGGCTGGTCCACGCAAACAGATGCCGCGTCAAAAGATCAATGCAAGAGAACGCTGTCGCACCTTTAAGTAAGTTTTTGGAGACACACAACACACAAACACACACACACACAAACAACTATGAAATTTCAGTGTAAATGCGGCTTACGAAGCGCTTAGGATTTTAATACCCACGGAACCAGTGAATCGAAAACTATCCAAAATAGAGGTAATACGTTTGGCCAGCAGCTATATAACACATTTACGCAGCACTTTGATAATGGGTAAAATTTACTTACATATGTATATCGATTTCATACATACAAACGTACAATATCCAATTCATTTCATTTCGCGTCTTTTCAGGTACAGATAAAAGTCCCTGCCTGTTGCAGCATTCGGGCAAGTGCAAGAGTGAATATGGATTGGCGCGCGTCAGCATTTGCACATTTTGCATGAAACAAAAATAACTTTACTCCACCGTTTAGTTTTTAAGTTTTTTTTTAAATAAAATAACGTTTATCCGTGCGAGTAGTTGTATGTTATTTTAGTGCCACCTGGCGGTCTTACGAAGAAGCTACATAGTCTGGTAAAAGACAGTTGGCAGCCTCGCACATCTGTTCCACAACTGTTGAATATAGTTAGTCAAATTTCATACTTCAGTTAACAGATGGCGCCAAAAATTGCTTACATATGGCAGCGCTTCTGCATTATTTTATCGGCAAGTATTGTAAATATTAGTTATCGATTCATTGCATATAGTAGGCAATGGATTTTTGGCGCGAATGACAGCAGTGTTATGAGTTGGAATTGAAATTAAAATCAGAGTGCCGTGACTGGGAAGGTAAGCTGATTTCCTAGAAAGAATTCTTCACACATATAAAAGCGGATTTTTTGTTATAGTTACTCATAGCACAATGAATTCAGCAAAGCGCGTGCTGTCGCCCATCAAGCCAGAGAATGACACTGAAAACAAACAGACCAAAAAAGTGAAAATATCCTTAAGCTTAGAAGGCCGTACGGCTCCATTGTCACCACAACAAAAAGAGAATGCAAGTACTGAGCACGCTGCTCTATTGGGGTGGGGGGACGATGATGTTGACGATATTGATTTCACTAAACTGGCGGCCGTTGAGCGCTGCTTCTTGGCTGCTAGTGAGGGTCAGAAGAAACCACAAATGACCACAACTGCATTAGAGCCAAGCGTGGTTATGGATCAAAGACGCGCCGTAGCTAAGCAAAATAAGGCACTTGATGAGTTATCAGCTCAAAACAACCTTACAGCGGCTGGACCAAAGCCGACTGATTGCGAGCTGAAGCAAGCGACGACTACTAAGGAGCTAATCAGCCTAAACCAGTTGCCGATCGACGCGGAAACCAAGGAACTTCTGGCGAGTCAACATATCACCATTTCGGGGCAACAGCTCATATTGGCCGACAAGAAGATCACTGTGATTGGAGATCAGCCCCTGTTTGCGGACCAGAAACTAACGCCCATTGCCATGGCTGCGCAGAAGTATTTGGCTGCCGACCACAAGCTCTCTCTGGAAGCGGAGCAAAAACTTTCGGCGGCTGAACAGCGGCTTGCGAAGTCAGAACAGCGCCGTGTGACGATGGAAAAGAAACGCTTAGAAAAGGAGCAGAAACGCGCTGCAGATCTCGAACAGAAACGCATTGCCAAGGAACAGAAACGTGCTGCTGTCGAGGAGCAGAAACGCTTGGCAGCTGAACAGAAACGTCTGGCGGCGGAAAAGAAGCATGCCGCCAGAAAGCAACTATCTCTGGCAAGGACAAGACAGGCAAAGAAGAAAGCGATTGCCAAGGTGGAGAAAAATCTGCGGGATCAGACCATTATTGGGCCAGAAAACACTGCGCTACTTCGTGATTCCAATGACTCGAACTCAACTGCGTCGGAGCTGGATACCTCTGCCGTTTTTCTAAAGCCGGCTGTGCCACAGCTTGAAACTAAACCGAAGTCTACGTCCTTCAAACATTCGTTGCCTGAAGACACCAGCCAGATACCGCAGCAGTCTGGTATGGCAGAACAGCTCTCCCCGATAGAGCCCTCCTCATCGAACCTGAACCAGTCGCCCAAAACTGAACAGCTCCCTGCAGCAGAGCAGTCGAAGACCGAGGACAAAAATCGACCCAAACTCAATCTGACGCTCTGGCAACGATGCTTGGTGGAAAGCACTTGGCGCAAACCGAAGACCTCAGATTTGGTGCTGGTATTGCGCAGTGACGATAAAGAAGTAGCCGAGTGTGTTCTCCAAGGCCCCTGGATGCATACGCAGGTTCAATCCGGCGACTTAGTGTCAGTTCAGGCGGATTGGGACCAAAACAACAAACACTATGTTGTCAACCGCAATGTCGGATTAATAGCCGTTCACCCGGACATACTTATTTCGACCACTACGGTAGCCAGTTCACTGTTCTGTCGCCGCAAAGCGGTCCTTATGGAACGATTTCGTGGCATAGATACAGGAAATGTGGCGGTAAGTGGCAAAATTTTAATTCCAATTGAAAAGCGATAATAATACTCAGTACGAGTATTCAGCTCACTTAGGCATTATTTGATGACTTTGAAAACACCTTTATTTACTTTTGGGATTTACATCCAAAAACATCTTTTTTTTTAAATGACTAAACATCAGTTAAGTTCCTTTTAGACAACATCCGCTATGGATTAAAATGTGATATAAATATGCCTTAGCTTCGATCTAAAAAGATATCTTATGAGCAAATATTTTAAAGATATTTTCCATCTTAAATGAAAACACGTAATTGCGTAATTATGAGATAAAAATAGACAGGCCGCAGGCAGATGGATAGACAAATAATAAAAGGTACTTTAATATTAATCATTATAGATGGTGATCGGCACGGCTGTGCATAAAATGTTCGAAATCGCCATAACGCAAGATATGAGGAGCCCCAGCCAATTGGAGCGAATTGTCGAGGAGATGGTGCATAGCACGGACATGATAAAGGTGCTGTACGCAAACAAACTGAAGATGGCCGAGTTTTCGGAAGGTCTGACCAAATTTGTGGACCCCATCATAACGTTCATTAGACAATTTGTGCACGACTGTGAGAAACGCGTGCCGTTGCCCGAACAGTTCCAAGGCCATATACATCGGGTGGTGGACATTGAGGAGAATCTGTGGGTGCCACGGTTGGGGCTGAAGGGGAAGATTGACGCCACTGTAACTCTCCGCCCTAAACAAGGCGAGTGCAATAAATACCACGATCCCGTACCACTCGAACTGAAAACCGGACGGCCCAGTTTCTCCTTTGAGCATCAGGGCCAACTGCTGCTCTATCAGCTGATGAGCAGGGCTCTGGGCAGTAAGGTAGACAACGGACTGCTGGTCTATATACGCGACGGCATTGTGCGAGAAGTTTTATCCGCACGTAATGAACAACGCGATCTGATAATTGCGCGCAACGAATTGGCTCATTATTTTACCCGTGAGGCGCAAGTTCCAGCAGCGGGCGCTTCGCTCAAAGTCAACAACGAGGGCATGATTTTGCAGCCCTTCCCTCTGCCCGAACCCATATCTCATCATAGCGCCTGTAGCAAGTGTCCTTATGTCACCATTTGCAGCAGTTTTGCTGCCACAGATCCCGATCTAGAATTGTCGGAATCCCACCCACTTCGGAAACTAATGCCGCAGAAATTGGAGCACTTGAACCCTGTGGACTTCGAGTACTTCATACACTGGTGTGGGCTTCTTACATTGGAGGAGCAGGAAGCGCGCAAATCAGTTAACATATCCGCGCTGTGGAACCTGCCACGAATTGTGCGCCAACAGCAGGGTCGTGCCATATTAGATCTCTATCTGCGGCCCCTCAGCTCCGTGTTCTCAGATGGCGATCGTTTCCATCACACGATGCATGTGCACCCAGAAGCGTTAACCGAGGAATTGGATTTAACCCTCAGCGGCGTAAGTTCATGTTAAAGTACCTTGTAAATAGCCCCTATGACTCCGGCATGCGTAAGAATCCAGATAACTCGCCTATCCTTCTTTCAATTCCATGATTGGTAGTCCACGATTGAACATAATCTATATTATTTCTTCATTAAACCCCACTTGACTACTAAATATTATATTTTCAATCTGTGATTCCCTTAATTTCCTCTTTTTGATTCGTAATTAATACATTAAATAATTAATTAATTAATTAAAGTAATTAATTAAAGTAAACTCAATTTGGATTTAGGTTAGCTGAGTCCATATACCAAGTTTGTTCGCTGTACGTCAAACCGTTTCCGAAATCCAGGCGTTCATGCAGACAGACGAAAAAACGGAGATGTCTGATCAGGAATATTCGTGATTGCGTGCGAAACGCTTCTATCTGCTTTTTGATACTTTGTAAAAACAAAATATAGCTACTTATTACCTTGTCTGATTAAGATATTGTCCTCCCGTCTCTCTTTCCACAGTTTGAATTGGGCGAGTATGTCATCATAAGTTCAACAGATCGCTTGGCTATTTCGACGGGATTCATCAAGTCGCTCACGAAGGACAGCGTTGGCTTGCTGTTGGAGCGGGACTTGAGAAAATTGAATGAGCACAGCCGCTTTATTATAGACAAGCACGAGTCGCAGTCGTTCAATGTCTTCAGTTTCACAAACCTGGGTCTGTTGATAGATGCCTCCGATCGTGGGGCCCAACTGCGCCAGATTATTATCGACCGCATACCGCCCATCTATTCAAAGGAGCTGCCAAGAACCATCTACGATGATGGCCACATCATACTATCCGGCCTTAATTCGTTGCAACGCAACGCTCTGTTGCGTGCCGTCGCAACCAATTCGTATTTGCTGTTGAAGGGCCTGCCGGGCACAGGGAAAACCGAAACCCTGGTGGCACTAATTCGATTCCTGAACTTGATGGACCGCACGGTGCTCATCACGTCGCACACTCACTCGGCCGTGGACAACCTGATGGTACGTCTGTTGCCGTTCGACCTACCTATGCTGCGATTGGGCGCTCCGGCGCGCACCCATCCGAAACTTATGGAAATTAACGAGGCTGTGCTGACAAAATCCTGCAAAAATGAGGAGGATATGGAAGAGGTGTTCGCCTCACGCACCATTGTGGGCGTCACCTGTTTGGGCAGCAATCATGTGATCTTCAATCACCAGAAATTTGATTATTGCATTGTAGATGAGGCGACCCAAGTCTTTCAGCCCACAGTGCTTCGACCGCTCTGGCACTGTTCCAAATTTATACTCGTCGGGGATCCGGATCAGTTGCCGCCGTTGGTGAAGTCGCGGGTCGCACGCCAACGGGGTGCCGATGAATCGCTGTTCCATCGCCTGGACTCCAAATTTTCGACAGTGATGCTCACCAAACAATATCGCATGAATCGAGCCATTACCAAGCTGGCGAATGCCCTCACCTATGACGGAGCCCTAGAGTGTGGCAACGATCTGGTGGAGAAGTCTGGAATGCCTCTTTCCAAGCAGCCCAGCGGTCCGCGTTGGGTGGTTCGTGCTCTGCAATCCCATGTGGATCAATCGGTAATACTGCTGGACACCTTGGATAGCTACGAGCGAATGAATGCCTATGCGATGACCCACAAGCCAATCGGCGCTACCGGCGATATTGTCGAGCAGCACTATGGATTGGATGGTAAGAAGACATATCAACAGCCGCAGCGGATGAGACGCATCACTAAGTATGCCAATCCCTGCGAGCTTGCTGTCGTTTTTCAAATACTTCGTCGCCTGCTCGAGGCTGGCTGCCCTCCATCGGAAATAGGCGTCATTGCGCCCTATCGCGCCCAGGTGGAGCTCATGCGTAGCCTTATCTCGAAGTGCGTTAAGCCAAGGATGGACCTGGTGGAGTTCAATACCGTCGATCAGTATCAGGGACGCGACAAGAGCGTGATTATTTATTCTTGCACCAAGACCTGCGATCCATCATTGGATGCTGAACGGCCACACGATGCTGAGATTCTCGAGGATAAGCGTCGTCTCACTGTCGCCATCACGCGTGCCAAGCATAAGCTCATCATTCTTGGCGACGTCAAGTGCCTGCAGCGTCATGGACCCTTTCAGAAGCTATTTGCCAGCATTCCCAGCATCTGCCGCATAGAGCTCGATGATGGCTCCCAGGGCTTTAGCTGGCACTCCGTCTTTTCTGACTTCAACAAACTTTGGGAGCACTCTCCCAAGGACGCCAATTGATTATTCTAACTAATAAGCCAGACTATTTATTTACTTTTTTTTTTGTTTTTTTGAAATTATTACAATGTTGACGATTAGACTTAATAGACTATTCCTGATTTCCTTTAAGGATTGAAGGATTGACATTTTAGGGACATCTTTACGTTTGTTCCCTGTTGCTCTAATAATAAAATAAAACAAAATCCAAGACTAATATACATATCTTAAAAAAAAAACAAGTGTCATAGCTCTCTTAAGCATTAAATTACGTGTGGAACTTAAACAGCGCATGCTGACAAAGTCCTAACCGGTTTGGATTGCCAAACTACTACCGTCTTGACCGTCGCGGCGCCATGCTGGTCCAGCTGAAGAAACTGAACCACCCCGCCCCTCCAACGAAGACAGTTTTAAGTAAAACCTCGCCAACAGGTTATCCTCGGCGATGCAAACATTAAGGGTCCACAACTGGAGCTGGGCTTGATAAGGTTGTCAGTTCTTAACAGGTTGGCTTTTGAAAAGTGGAATGTCCAGACACTGATATGAGTCGAGCAATCACGAAAGCCCTGCTCAAAAGATTCAATACTTCATGGCAAGCCAGAATCTGACGTTTTTAGCTTGACGATCCTGTTCCCGGCAATAGTCTCCAAAGTGTATAAAATAGAAAAGTCCCCAATAAAAACAATAACTACACCCACCAGTAAACGCCAAATAACTGAAACCCCAGAATTATGAAGCTGACTTCATACCCATCGATTGTTTCGTCATTGCTAGTTTTGTAGCTGTAGCAAACTATATTTTAATACAGTGCTATGATTGCTTTGAATCGAACTGACCTTAAATTTATGATTAATTGCAATATTTTAGAAATCTGTGTGCCAATTATTTGCCTGTCTGACCATAGCTATGTTTGCAATCCCTAAAAAGAATAAATGTATCCTTCCCATCAGCTTTAATTCACAAACTTATACAGGTTCTCTGTAATTATAATTGAAATTGCTTTAACTTTATGATTTGTTGTGACATTTAAATGATTTGCGTGCCAATTTTTTGTCTGTCTGACCATTGCAGTCCCAAAAATGATTGAAATCCTTACTTTCCCATCAGCTTTAATTAACAAACTTATGCAGCTTTTCTGTTATTTCGATTGAAATTGAATTTAATTTAGTATTTGTTATGACATTTCAACGATTTGCGTACGAATTTTTTGCCTGTCTGACCATATGTTTGCAATCCCTAAAAAGGGATAGATGCATCCTTCCCGTCAGCTTTAATTAACAAACTTATGCAGGTTCTCTCGTCGTCTGTTTGAAATTGTGATATTTCACAAATTTGTTTGCCAATTATTTGCCTGTGTGACCACCAGCAGCTGCTATGGGAGCCGCCAAATTGATTTGCCATCGGCATTAATGAATTGAATTGTGTAGACCCTCTGTTCGTGTAGATATACATATGTATTTATTAATTCTTTGTTGAAAACTTCAGAGATATACTGAACTGTTACATCGACTTGTTATATATAAATTCGAACCACAAGCTTAATACAAATACAATACATAAATATCGATTTTATAATTTAATTTATTAAGCATAAATCTTAACACTAGAAAGGTGTGCCCGGGTGAATTATTGGCATGCAAGTTATAAATGGAATTCAAGTTGGTTTCGTTGCAACTCCTTTCGATTACAATTTCATTCTTTTTATTTTTTATTTGTATTTTCCTTCCTTCCATCCTTTATTCATGTTTGTTCTTTGTTTGTTTGTTATTAGTTCAGTTCGGGCCCAAAGCACATTTATTTATTTCTGGCTTTCACATCAGGCGTACATCGATGTGTTTGGATGAAAGTGCACAAAATGTTGACCAAGCTGTCCCACATCTGGCATAAAGAATTTGGTGCTACGCTGTCCCATGGATCACAGATGCGGGTTTTGCCATTTTCCTCTTTCTTTTTTTTGTTTTTTTTTTTTTTGTTGGGGGTGGGGGGAGGGAAAACACCTTTAAAAATTTTTCACACAGAACCGTCGCTAACGTCCGTTTTACATATATGTATGTATACATGTATATATATATATATATAATTTAGCGTATATATTATACATATACTGTATTTACATCGACAATGAGTTGAAGCCCAACGATGAATTCAATGTATGTATGTATTTCCTTGTTCTTCCGTCCATCTAATCTATGAAAAAAAATCAATTATCTCTATATTCTCCAGTCCATCTTATGGAGTTCGTCCTCTCAAAAAAAAAATCAATTATTTCTATTTGCTCCAATCCATCTTATGGAGTATTTCTCAAAAAAATTCAATTATTTCTATGTTCTCCAGTCCATCGAATCGTTAATCGTTAATCGTCCATCAATAGTTAAATGATTGGGTGACCGAAACATTTACTTTTCATCTCTCTTCTTCCTCTTCCTCTTCCTCTTCTTCTTCTTCGGTTTTTTACATGTATATATACGTGTATACTCGTATATTGATCAAAAAGCTTTTCACAATTTAAGAGTAATTAGTCGGTTTTATATAGCGATGTTCTCTGGTAGATTAGCAAAAACTAATTTGTACCCTTTGTGCATGTGAGAGATCTCTTTCAATATTGCGCGCTTTTCCTCTGACTTTCCGGCTTAGGTTTATTCCTTTTGTGATCTTTCACCAAAACACATTAATACATCTATATACTTGTATATTCATATACATATATATAGGTATATATATACTTATATACATATATGCGTATTGCACATTTTAGTTTTGGCCATCAATGGTTCATCCAATTAGCATCAGCAGCACATATTATTAACCAATTAAAATATTTATTCGAGTACAAAAAAAAAAAATAAAAAAATAAAAATAAAAACAAAAATCATTTTGCAAATGAGCTTCGAGACCACGATTCAGATTCAGATTCCGATTGCGATTCAGATCCAGATTCAAGATCAGATTCAGCGGCTGTTGTTGCTGTTGTGATTGGTATTGGTTATATTTTTACTGTACACTTCTTTTGATCCACAATGGTGTTGATGAAGATATTGATGATGGGTGTAGGGAACGTGAGTGTGATGGAATAATTGCGGCTGGGGCTGGGGATGGGGATGGGGGTGGGATTGACTGTCCGCATGGCTGCCCGGAAGGGCTGGCGATGAGACAGATGGGGACATTGGCGGCGTTAATGCTGGACCGGCTATTGTGTCCCCCATGTTTAAGTACAATGATGGACATGGTCCCATTTGTGGTATTATCATTGGTGGGTTATCCATCTCTGGCTTTTTAGCGATCATATGCGCTTGCTGGTGTTGTTGTTGCTGCTGCTGTTGTTGTTGCTGTTGTTGCTCGTCAGCAACCTGCGCAGCAACAACAGCTGCTGCTGCCGCCTTCGATATTAAATCTGTCGGCAAATTAAAAATTGACGATCACTGAAGACGTGGCCAATAATTACTGCCCGTCAGATCAGAGACATTCTGTGTCGATATCTGAACAGGCACTGAAACGCCAGCAGATATTACACCTGCAATATACCATATAATATTATATTACAGATCGGTTAAGGTCCAAATATATATATATATATTTAGATGTCACCCACCTGTATTAGCCGTCCCTACTGCCGAGCTATTGCCATAGACGCTGTGTTGGGGGGGCTGTTGGTGGGCCGCTGCTGGGTTGCAGGGAGTGTTACGTGGGTGTGCCGCATACGGGGAGCCGAGCGACAACGGATCGTGAAACATATATGGGTAGCTCTCCCGTTGCTGCAAGCATGTGGGCGTCATCGAACTGAGTGAGGAGGTCATTGAGCTGTGGGAGACAATATATATCGCAATTACAATTTCACACTTCAAATATTTCGGTACATATGTAAGTGTTAACAATTAAAAACTCTGTTAGGTGGGGCCTAATGGAAGACTACGCGAAAGGGGAAAGGGAGTTTTTCTCAAATTCAAACAAAGTACATGGAATCCAGTTGTTGCGAAAATGTAATCCTACATATGTTTAAAAGCTGAATTGTGTAACAAAATTACAAGACAAATTGTTTACAATAATTTTTTGATTTTTCGGAATTGAGTGCATTTTCTAATTTGAATTCCGCATAAATGGATCAAATTCGGAAACGCGAACAGGCTTGATAATTCGGACTATAGCAGGTTATGTAAGCGTTTACAATTAGTTGATAGTCAATATTTTTGGTCAGTTGTAACAAAGGAAAGCTATTCTGGGTTTTCTTCTCTGGGGTAGAACTAGAATTGTAATTCCATTGCCTTTCTTAGGGCTGCCAACAATTATTGGATAAATTTGTAAATATTTTCCTTAATACTTAAATTAAATGTATTGAAATTTTATCTATTGTGTAAATATTAAATGAACTCTGTCAAAGTTCATTGGAATTAAAACTTTGGAACGGAAATTTGTGAATTTCAATTCGCAAAAGTTGTTTACGTTTGCAAATCGCAATGTTAAATGAGAAGCTTAACAGCGAATCCAGTTAACTAGGCATCCATAACACCGAAGTTAAGAAGCTTTACAAATTAGTAGAGGAATTTTTAGAGTTTCTGGAGTCCCGGAGGCATTACGTGTATCATCTACAGTGAAAACTCTCTTAGGCGGACACTCACGATCGGCCAATTTTATAGACTTAAATACTTTATACACCGATCGAATGTTTTTTTGAAAAAGTGTCCGCTAAGGGAGTTTTCACTGCATCTACATATTATGTTTGATTTTTCTTTTTACATATTATCAACTTAGCTATATAAGTTGGGAAGAGGCATAGGATTCGTGCACGTCATGTAAACTAAAACAATATCAACAGAAAAGAGGAGGAGAGGAGTAAAGAGGAGTCTGCTCAGACAGCCTAATGTTGTGAGCACTGAGCTGGAGGATGGCTTAGGTAATTAAGTTTGAGGATTTTCGAAAGACTCACTTATAGTTTTCTGCCATCGTGGCAATGGGTTGCGGGATGGAGGAGTACATTGTGTTGAAACCAGTGTTCAATGGCAAGCGTGGGGCCACCGCCTGCAGTGGCGGACTCTCAGAGCTTGTGTGCGCCGCGCCAGCATCGCCGCCGAGAATCTAGAAATTGGGAAAAGAGAAGGAGAAACATTTTCGTACACATAGTGTATACAAAATGTTAAGTTTAACTTACTGTGGGCCCATTTGAATTCTCGGCCAAGCTATTGTTGCCAGCATGTGCGGCCGTAGTCACATCGGAGCCGGCAGAACTAACAATGCCCGCTGCCGAGTTGCTGGCCGTTGTGGCAGCTGTGGACGCAGCTGCTCCGGACTGATTGTTTGTGCTTGTGCGGCCGCTGTTGCTGCCAACATTGTCGGCCGAGCGTCGTTGGGTGCGCAGTTTCTCCTCGCGGCGCCATTTCGCACGGCGATTGGAGAACCAAACCTATAAATGCATCCATTAGCGAAATGTTGCACAACTCTATCGGCGGGCCAAAAACTAAATCATACATATGTATACTTGTAGTACATACAAGTATGTTGTATCCACAAATCAAAATGCTTGTACTTTCAAAAGTTTAACTTGCAAAAGGAAATAATATAGAAAAGAATGTAAAACAATTTGGATTGCTCAGAGTGAAGCTGTTAACGTCTTCTGATTACAGTTTCGATCTATTCCTACCCCTATTTATTTCTCTCCATCAAGTTCTAAAGTTGAACTCATTCATATACATATGATGAGGAAACCAGACTTTAATCGAACTATTTTTTTTCCAAAGGAAACAAAGTTTGCTTCTAAATATTCCTTTTTGACAGCGCCACATATTATTGGATGACTTCCAAACTAATGGAAATGGAAATTAAAATACACCTAATTCTGTTTTTACACGGTTTGAAAATGAAAAATTGTATTCCATTTAGCACGATTCAAAATAACATATGATCAATGTCTATTTTTACACGACTTTTTCTGAAACCAATCTAGCGTGTAAAAACAGAATTAGTTGTACTTCCAAATCGTGCAAGACGCTGCATTGAGTCGGAAGGTGATTTGAATAAATATAATATAATCTCATTTTCAAAATATAAATTTCAAAATATCAATGCTATGTTTTTATTTTTTAAAAGTCCTGTTTACCTTCAAGCAAGATTTCTATGGCTTACTTCAGTAAATCTAATGTTTGGTATTCAATTTGATTTATTTGTAAACTCAATGATGAAGCCATCATTACATTTAAGTGAAAGCTTGAAGTGATTTCTAATTACCTTTTTGAATATTGAAAAACACCACTCTTTGTCATTGAATGCCATTTTTTAATATTTTGCTCTTTCCTATTTTTCCGTTTGAAAATATTTCACGAATATATACATATTTCTAATTTCTATTGCTAATAAGCTAACGATTAGTCGAATAAAGTCTGAAGATTACTTATAGTACTTGTAATATAAAAAGAGTTCGACGTTGGAAAAATTCTGATCTTAAATGAAATGAACTTTATTGAAAGTTTGCAGAAATTATTTGCCTGTCTGACCGCATTCGCTTTGCACTACTTGAAGCAATTAGTGATCTCTATTGATATACATTTTGTTGATTCTCTTGAATATATACACTTGTTTGTGTATCTTGAGAATCGATTGAAAAATCAGAACTTAAAACGTTAACAGAGCCACACTGAGTGCCCCAAAGAGTGCATAATCTGTCAAAATAAAACTGAATTGTGAGGCGCTTCCGTAATAAACTGACGTCTAGAGTGCCACCCCCCTTCGTTTATTGAGTCTGCAACGCCCCGGCAGGCCAAACAACAACAACAATGGCAACAACAACAACAAGAATAAAAAGAGGACTCGTGTTTAACTTTTTGCCAAGTTGAGTGATCAACGACTGGAGATGAAAACAAAAACTACAAAACAACACAAAACAAAAAAAAAAACACTTGTAACAACAATTGTTGTTGTTGGTGTTGTTGCTGTTGTTGCCATTGTTGAACTCTGCATTGCAGGGGCGACATTAATAAATACTCAAGTGTCACAATTCGTTCAAGTTGGAGTCATTGCCGAGGCACTCGAAGCGAAATGAGGAAAGGTCTAGGCCTTGGAGTGTCGCTGTCGCAGTCGCAGTCGCAGTAGCAGGCGGTCGAAAATTGCGAATCGAGTATCGAGAATCAGCAGTCAGGAAGGAGTCGGGAGCGTTACTAAATTTCAGCTAGACAGAGCCTTTCGAAATGGTGATGCTGATGCTGATGGTGATGGGGATGTGTTGTAGTTGCCTGCCTTTCGACAAAAGGGTAACAACAAAAGGGTGAATTAGGATTATAATATTTGTTGTGCTTTAATATTTTTTCACCATGACATTTATTACTTTGCGTTATTGTAGCGCATTCTCTTCACTCTTCCGTTGACAAAACTCTTTCTTCCGACAGGGACACGGCAATGGGAAAATCGCAAGTAGTTTCAAGTGTTTTCACAGTCAAATTGTTTTTATTCACTTATACAAATAATCATAAGCAGTTTGCCGAACATGAGTATAAAACACATTAATAATAAATAGCAAGAAGCCGCAGGGGTGCCGTCAGTTTGAGGGTTGACTCCGAGCCGCCCGAAGTTCGAAGCTCGAAATCGCGACTCTGCCACTGCCTCTCAGTCAGCCGTGTGGTTAAAAGGCGAAGCAATCACATCAGAAAATTCAGTTACCAAATTGTTCAACCCCCATACATATACATATACATATACACATATATATTGGGCATTGGGTGCTTTTACGGCTTACATCTACTCATACCCATCTATTATTATACTTGTGAGAGAGAAAGAGAAACTGCATCTGCATCTGCATACATACATATTCGTTCGTAAATAAACTCTTAAGTACTTGTGTTCGTGTTTGTCGGATAGCTGATATATTTTGTTAATCATAATATACTTGGATCGCACAAACAAGGCGGACCCAGCTACGAAATATGCAAATAGGCAAACGGTAAACAAATTGAAGAGACTTTCAAGAAATTATAATGCGTCGCCGGCAAACGAAGCGTTCACATTAGCGCTAAACAAAAAGAATTCAACAAAACTGAAAGACAAACCTGAATACGTGCCTCTGGCAAACCAATTTTTTCTGCAAGCCTCTCCCGTGCAAATACATCCGGATAATGTGTCCTTTCGAATTCTATTCGAGGTGCCAGCCGACAAAAGAGAAATGAAAAGAAGTGCAAAAAGCACATGTTAGTAAGAATATTATATATGTATTTATTTAAGGTTTATACGAGGAGACTAACAAAAGTTTGATTCGAAAATGAAAGACAACCCCACAACACTCTTTTGCAATGTATATTGAGCTGTAAACCAAGTCTTTTTTTTGTACCTTAACTCCCTTTTCCCATTACATTAAACAAAAACAAACTTGAATAAACTCGAAATGGCATGGCGCCAGATCCGGATAATATGATGCTGAGCGAACTTTTCGTAGACCCCAGTAAAGTAATCAGCAGCGTGAGTTATTCGTCTCCTCATTTAGTTAAGAAGTTCAGAATCTCTTTCTTCGGTATACCACTTTGATTCAATTTTCGCTTTGATGGAGTATCGTTTGATTTGTAGCTTGGCTCCATTACATATACTTGTATATTGGTTTCCTGGTCGTAAATATAATCTTAATTATTATATTTTTTTTTTCGAGTTCTCCTTTGCAATTGCAATTCTTTTTGGAAATATTGGTCTGAGGAACCTTTTCACACATCATTTAAATATCGTGGAGCAGGTTTCTTCCAGCTGCATGTTATGGCTTTTCATGCCAATGCTTAGTCTTGATTGAACATTTTAAAGCACTTCAGTCTGAAATCTTTGGAAGCATTTTGAAACAATTTTCAGACACAATGCATTCGTTCCATGTGTATTTTAACGCTTTTGAGTTGAATCGCTTAACAAATTGGTTGTTCTTCTCTCTTCTGGTATTCGAAACGGTTAGCAAAGTAAATCAAATAAAAATAAAAATACTACCAACTATTGAAGCTTTTGTTAGTCCCTCTGTATATATACATACATATACATTATGCATACTATATATACCTTTCTCCAAGCTGTCAATCTGCTCGTTTGTAAATGAGGTGCGATTTCGCTGTAGCTTCCGTTTTAGCCGTAGCCGCATCTGTGAGTCCTCGTCGCCAGAAGAATTGTGGTCGGAGTTTCCATCAGAAGTGCTTTCGTGCGAGTTCGGATGCGACACGTCGCCGGGATAGAGATCTGTAAGCAAAGGTGTCAGTGATTAAAAGCACAGTCAAGGTAACCGTAACTGTAACTGTAACCGTAACCGTAACCATAACCGTAACAGTAACAAAGTGGCAAACGCCCCTTAATTCCATTCTAATGCTGCTGAATTGCTGAACAGCAGGGACTACTCGCGTGGGGTTGCACAGATTAAAAACGCATTTCTTTTATAGCTCGGGGAGTTACTATGACGACACCGCTTAAAGCGTTTCTATCCTATTCAATATTGTATTTTGTCAAACTATGTCGACGGTGTAGCCGTGTAACCGCCTCGGGCTCATTCAGCCAATTGACGGTTGGTCTCCTTATGCGTTAATAATGGGAACACCATGCCACCAAACAGGGTTCTAATTTATCTTAAATTGCCGCCACGGTCACAGTAACCACCTCATCGTTCCGAAATCAGGGTTGAGGCAATTAATTGGGAAGTTGCACAACATACGAATATGATTAATGCTCGATAGCCGATTTGCTCAGGTACTACATACTTGTAGTCTTCCTCAATATAAGCTTGCTGTAAACTTTCAAGAACTCTTTCCATTGCTTTTGAAAGACGACATTCTTTAGATAAACATATTCATTCAAAAAAGGGACAAACGCAAATGCTTTCGACTCACAAATATAGATTTGTTGAGAATTTTGAGAGCTTCAAATCTTTGAAAATTGAACTGTAATGGAGTTGGATAGTTCCAATATTTCGTATATGCCTAAATATGAACGGTCACTTTACATTCGAACTCTACTAAAGTATTTAGTTGATATTTTGCCAAAAACTTATCCAGAAATTGTATTTTATAGTTTATCTGGCGGACAAACTATATGTATATTCTACTACACTGCAAGTATTTCAGGAATCAAACCTCTAAAAATTTCTTAATATTTGAGTTAGTTTGTTCTCTCCACTTCCAGTGCAATACCAATTCTTCAAAGGCGACTATAAAAATTTGCCTCCTGCGTTGGTAAAAAAAACACCCGCAAAACATATCAAAATTTTCGCCAAATTTATTCAGCCATCAAGTGGCTTACGAGGCAAGCAGGTGTAAAACAGAATGTAGGCGGCCCTTGACACTACAGCTGACATATCTACAGCCTCCACGATTTGATCGTTAAATTGAAACCAGCTGTCGTAGACAGGGCTCTTGCAGAGTGCCTTGTAGTGTCCACTGCCAATGGAGCCGAAGTGGTTCGATACGCCATACAGCCGATACTTTTTGGGAATATCTGGTCTCAACTCGAATTCGAGGGGTGCTACATAAGGTTGCATGTCCAGGTCCTCAAGAGGAAAGTGCACCAACGTTTTCTTCTTCTCATAGCCACCTCCAGCTTGAGGACTGGGCCAGAAACGTTTTATCTGTATAACTAGGACCGGTGGAAGTACTGAGACATCCAGTTTTTTGAAAGCATCACATTTCTTCCGGCAGCCTGGACAATTCCAGCCCTCTACGCCCCCACTGCCGAAGTACATATCCAAGCACTCTTTCAGATCGCAGACATCCGCATTGGGCGGCAGATCCAAACTGAGGCTTGAGAAAACCTCATATCTTCGTGAATCCGTGGCACAAACCCTGCATTTGATGGTGCTCTTCAATTGCCCATAAAACAATTGGAGTATGAAGCTCTCCTTGCACTTTGTAAATTCGTTCCAAGCCGTTTTCGCTGGAGTAATCATCCGGTCTGTTCGAGGGTCGACAAGCATGGTCTGCACATCCGACTGTAGAAAATCAATTAGAAGGGTGAGGAACTCGTGAGCGTCCTGCTGAGCTGAGCCTCTAAAGCTTTCCCCGAACTGTCCCACAATATGCCATAAGTCGTTGCAGGCCACGCTTTTAAATTTAGCTGTCCACAATTTTTTTAGGATAGCAGCAACCTCTTCGATTACTTGGCCTTTTGTTTGGTTATCAGAATTTATGTGGCTTTTGAAGCGGTCGCTTGTACAGTATTCGACCAAAGGGGTCGTATTACTGAGACACTGAAGGATGCTGTTCATATAACAGGTGTTTCCCAAATTCCTCAGACCTGTGAGGCCAAGTTTGATATTTTTGCCACGCACAGCCGGCGAGTAATCACGGTCTAGTTGCTGCCGTGGTTTCTTGACCTCTTTATAGCTAGGTCTTGGTGCTGGACGCTTCGCAGTACCCTTAGTTACCAGCTTGCGGTCACTTTCCCGACGCTCGCATCCATGCTGCTTATCTAGCAGCTGAGGTTCCTGATTTCCTGGCTGATTACCTCGGATCTGCAACTCTAGCTGCTTCTTCAATTTCGAAAGCGAATCACGCAGCTGGATATTCTCTAATTCGTAAGCTTTTGCTTCACATTCAAGCTGTTTTATATTTTTTAACAACTTCTGGCCGGAACCGCTGTTGCAGAAGCCTTTCTTATCGAATAAATTCTTAACTGCATTATTCAGCAGCACACCGTTTTCTTTGATTTTTGTTAACAGTTTCGTATGCTTGCCTATAAGTTTGGCCACGAATGGGTTTGCTTTCATCATTGTTGTTTTACTTTCAATAAGTATTTACTAATATTCACATGGAGTCAATAGAGGACAGTGAATTTAATTTCTCAAATTCAGGCACCTGACTGTTATGTCTAGACTTCCTTTAATTAAAGCCAATACGATTACACAGATACTACATATATGCAAACTAATGGAAGAGCAGGCTTTGGAATTTACATTTCTTTAGAGCGGGAAAAACAATCGATGGCACTATCGATGTATTGTAAGGTGCTGAACCTGTATGCACGGATTCAATGCTTATATAAAACATAAAAAAAACTATCGATGTATCGATGTTTTTGCACTTTTGAAATACATCGATGTTTTGCTCACAACCATCGATTGTTTTTCATTCTGTCCGACGTAGTGAAACGGAAAGGATGTAAGTAAAATTTAGAATTTTTGTTGTGCCTTTATTATTTGTGCAGAAATAATTGCTGTGTTGTTTGTTAGTAGTTGTGGATAACGATAAACAATGGACTTTCAAAGTAAGTTTGGTTTTGGACACGCAGCATCTAAAGAAAATCATGAAGAAATGTACAGCCTAAAGCGAAAGAGCGGAATTTCTGTAGTGTGGCAGTTTTTTTTTTTTTTAAATGCAGGGACAGCCAAATGGCCCTTTGCAAAGAATGCGGTAAGCATTACTATATTATGTTTCGATGTTTCATCGATGTTTTGATTTGAATACATCGATTGTCGCAACCATCGACTTTTCATGACTTGCTGTTGCAAATTATTTGCCTGTCTGACCTTTCGAATTTGGATGACTTTCTGAAGTGGTTGATAAAGTGTTTCCATCAGGTCAGATTATTTTCTTTTTAATTTAACAAATAATCACGACTTTTCTAGTACATTTTTTATTTAATTTACCCTCATAACGTGTTTAAAACTTTGTCCGATTTTTTTAATTTTTGAATTTTCTTTTTCCTATCAATTAGAATATGTACATATGTATATACCTTTGCGTTTTTTTAAGTAAAACTATAAAGTTTAAGTGTTTATTTTGTTTCCGTTGATCAGCTATTCGCATCTGCTTCATACAACAAAGCTGCAGATAATACGGACACCCAAGTGGTTAAGCCAAATCGGCTCAACTAACTACTTAACTAAACACTTGTAGGCCTTTCTTTCAGTATTTTACTTTTGAAATGTTCGCCCAGTCTTATGGTTTAGCCTTGATTCAGGGAGATTGAACATAGCGTTCAAAATTTGAAAGTTGGAAGTCATTTAAATTTTAATTGATTTGGCTAATTGATGCTGAAACTAAACGCAAGTCTAAACTTTTCATGATTAGAGCCTTTAGTTTAAAAGAAAACATTTTTCTACTAAATAACAAATAGAATATATGCTTTAAAAACTTCTAGAAAGATGATTTTTTGAATCATAGACATATAGATAAAAATTGATATTATATATGTACGTTTTTGTGTTCCCAGCTGTTACGATTTAGAAGTTCTAGCCATTAAACACATACCGAGCCTATAGTTCTCCAGACGCAGGAAAAATATAACTACGACACACAAACAAACACTAAATCGAACCGACAATGTGAAAAATCTACAAACCTGTCAGCACCATACTTCATATTCTCACGTCCTGCCCCTCCCTCTCCAACCAGAGAGACATTCTCCCTGCCAACTCAGATGCCTTAGCTCTAATCCTACTTTATAAAGTTAATTTAAAAAGCATAAATTAAAAAGAATTTATGTTTTCAATGTAGGTACAAAGCTTAGGTGTAGACAGCCATGGCAGCCAACATGCTACCTTAGTAGTTTTAATGTTAAGTTAATATTATCTAAAAGTAATATTAACTGCTTATAGATTGGGTTCTGCATCGCCTCGTTCCCTCCTTAGCTACAGGGTATGCAGATATACATAGTGTATGAATTAAAGGCCCAATTGAGAGCTTTTCTTGCAATACATTTACTTTAAATTCTTGAACAAGCTAGCTTACTAGCGGGGAGGCATTGATTGTTGCTCAATCTATTGCCGATATGCTAATTAGATGCCTTCGTCCATTGCATTGAGCAGCCTCCAGCTACTCTTAGTGTAAATCCTAGACCAGCTTTGGAACTAAATACCAGAAAGTGGGACTATCAGTCGGTCTATTGCCCATATGGAAATGCATTGAAAGGTGGAGTATAAATGCGAGTGAATCAATTACCATGGAATGCTAGTGCGGGCTAAGGACTTTTATTAAGCTCGTTCGTATTTATACTATTGACAGATAATTAACATGAGTTCTTACTTCATACTAGTATTTGCGAACATATGCATGCCACCATAATGGGTCGAACAAACATGTACCCATTAGTCCGATATGCATGGGAGAATAGTTTGTAAGTATAGTATATGAGGGGTTTGTGTCGTTTCGACTGCCTCGGCATTTGTGCGTTTGTAAAGTAATTTGTGAAAATCATTTCGTCGATTGCCGTGCTCTCCATGCTCTTATCTTGAAGCAACATCGCGGAAATGTTTGCGTCCAATACAAACACACACACACACACACACACACAGGGAGTAATGTTTATGTGTGTTTTCTGGTTTAGAGTGTAATGATGGGGTGACATTTATTGGCAAAGGGACATATGTTAGCCCTATTTTTCGATCGGCGAATAAACAAAAGCAATTGCGAGCAACAATTTCAACAGAAGCTGAATTGCGTCCCTCAATTAGATTTAATGGCAAATAACAAATGACCAACAAATTAACTATTTGTTTGCCCCAATGTTTGATCATCTGTGACAAAATGTCTCCGAGCTTGCGAAAAGGTCGTGGTCGCTATCGTGGTCGTGTTCGAGCTCGGGGTCGGGGTCGGGCTCCTGAGGGTTGTTGTTTTCAATTGTATCACATCAAGAGATGCATGTAGCTTATTCAATTTTCTAAATTGTACTTGTATACTTGTATGACTGGCATTATCATGTGAGAGCAGCACTCTGAAGATGTTTTCCTATTCCATCACCCTGCCCTTGCCCCTGCCTCTAGCATTTGTAATGAAGTTTTGCGCAATGAGACTACATTTTCACGCTTCAGAGGCCAAACGAAAGTACTTTTTCAAATTGTCTATCGCACATCAAGATTATAATAATGATTGAGAAAATAATTAAATTGAACTACAGTGCTCAGACAACCATTTATTTACAATATAGATCAGATATTCTAAAGCAAGTTAATTGCCAAAATTTAACCATCTGTCTTCCTATCTCCTCTCCTCATTCTCTCACAACTATGGAAAGGTGGAAAATACATAACTAATTTATTATAGCTACACTAATCAGTTGAATCAGTTAATCAATGCAAATAAAGTTTTCAAACATTAAACAAGCTGGCAAAATGAAGGCTATTCAAAAATACCGTCAACAATATATAGCTAGATGAGTTTTTGAGTTAACAAAGTAACACCTTATTGAACGGTTTTAAATTCTATAAAAACATCATTGAATTTATTATTTCTTGGGGAAGTTCGCGATGCCTTTGCTAAATTTTTCTTTAAAATGAAATGCTGTTCATTGAAAATTTGAGACAGTTTTATAATAACGAACATTGTACCTTCATATAGACAGCGTGGTTTTAGTCCTGAAAACCTATTCCTTTATCAAACATAAAACAACGCCACAATTAAGAAAGGGTTCTCACGGCGTTGTATATTTGCAAAAGGAATTACAAAATTGATGACTTTTGTTTCAAACAGAAAAGAATTAATATACTTGCAAGTTTTCACCTTTGATATAAATTGTATCAGAATGTTACAGAATGTATCGACACTTGTTTTGGAAAAGGTTCACCTTCTACGGTGCATTTTAAGTATTTTTAACAAATATTTATTAGTCTTATAGAAATTTTTGTTCGAATGGATCTCCTTGTAAGCTTTATACAAGTATTACACATTGGTTCATTGATTTTTCTAATAAATATTTTCATTTCATTTTTGAAATTTCTTTACCGTCTACAAAATGAAAATTCGAAACATAATTGTGTTTCAATTGTGTGTGTTCTGGTTTTATATTCTTGAATAATCAACCTTAATGCGAAAATCCAATTTTAAAATAACAAAAGAGTGTGCAAATGATAGGTAATTCGTAAAAAGAATGGCCTCGGTTCATACCCAACTATCTATCGGCTTTCAAAAATTGAAATTACATTTTCAATAAATGATTTGAATTGAAAATACAAATTGTTCAAAGGGGTTCATTGTTAATATGCAGGAGCATGAGAAGCCAGACATGGCTTTGATGTGCCCTTTTTGTCTTTTGAATAAATGGAAAAGGTTGTCTGGACAATGCGATAAAGTTTTTTGTTTTTGTTAATTGTTTAGTTCATCCGTCGGTTCTATAGCACTACTCGTACATAAATACTTCTAGAGTTCGTTTTCTATCAATGAATGGGCTTAATTAAATTAAAAGGCAATTCAGGTAGATAGCCAATTAGAGGACAAGATTTCATAAACTGATATCCGCACAATAAGTTGTTTTGAATATACATATAAAATGTTTGGCTGTTTGGCTGTTTGCCTGCCGCTCGTGGCTCCTTGTTGGGAATTTCAAGTGAGTTGAAAGCGATGAGCTGAAGTGTCGGGCAGTTAATTGACACCTTGAACGAATATTGAGCAAACGGTTGCAAGCCTGAGAGCAGGTTGTACGTTATCGGCTTACACTAATGAAACTTGACACATGGAGACTTCTGGTCTACAATGCCTACAGTGCCTACGGACCTATGTACGAGGTGAATGTACATACCAAGTATATATGTACATATGTATGTATATATACTTGTATGCACATATTTGTATATGAACGTATGAGGTCGTTGTCGTTGTCGTGGTCGTGGTCGTGGTTGGGTTCGATGTCGACTGCTGTAGCTAAATCAATCACGTTCATTGTGACCTTCAAAGGGGAGCAACCAAATTTATTGCATCTGTTAGTAGCGCCGACTTTGCTAATTTAACGCATGACTCTGTGTATGGCATTAGAGGGCTTACCACGTTTCTGAACATCATCCCGAGCTATTTGTCCAGACAAGTTCGTTGCTACTGTTGTTGGTGTTGGCGGCAGTGCTAAGTGTGCCGTCGTTGTGTTACTCGGGTACCAGGCCCAGCCACCGGATTGTCCATTGAACATGCGAAGTTTCTCATACACCGACTCGTTCTGCTGCTGGGCCTGCTGCTCCTTTTGTGATGCCAAATTGCGCAAGACCCGATTAATAGATGAAACCTGAAATCAAAGACAAAAACGACTCATAAATTTGTTGTTCATGTTTTTGCTGTTGTTGTTGTTGTTGTTGTTGCTTTTATTGTTGTACCCAGAACTGAGTCTGGCCTTTGTAGCTGTATAGTGCTAGAACGCAAATGTTCAATGGACATATCTTCATATTTCTTTCACGTGCCACTTTCCTACCCCCGTTGTAAGCACGAGAGCCTGTGATTGGCTTACGGCGTTCCAGCCAATCACACGCTTCTCTGCTGCAAACCGTGTCAGAGGAGGAAAGCAAGCATAGCGAGCATGCATAGCAGTTTGTTCTGTTACACGCACACACACTCGCACATACAGCACTTACACTCGCACACATACTTGCATACACTCACATCCACACTCACATCCACACTCACACCCACACTGGCAAGCACAGGCACATTGAAGAAATGCTTACAAGAATAAAAGTGCGCTTACTTATATAACGCAATGAAAATAAAAACTTTGCGCTTCTTGTAAATATATCGCACAATAAGCGCACAATCTGTGTACCTACAACAGTATGTGTGTGTGCATGAATTTGAAGGTGTATGTACATATGTACTGGAAACGTCAGTTATGGGTTCAAAGTTATGATACTGCTCCTCACATTCAGCTGGAAAAGGTCAAAGTGCCTTCGTATACTAATTAGGAAGTCTGTATACCCAGCGGGACATTGCAAAGTGTTCATATTACACAAGTATAGCAATTATTTTATATATGTGTATGTACTAGATATATGTATGAACATATGTAAACGTGTTGTACAGAGAGAATTTCCATTTGACGCCTAGAATTCCTAAGCCCGTCAATTCAGTTGCAGACATTGTTTCATATACAAGCAAAAATGTAAAATCTTATTTATATGCCCCTTAACACCTTCTATAAGCCATTTGTATTGTCTTTGCTTCAATATTTCAAGCACCAATTCACAAATAAATGGGGTGTTGGTCTGAAAATCAGGGCGAAGGTGCTTAACTTCGTCTTTGGTACGAACTCTGCTTAAATCAAGTCTAAGCGAGATTAATCAAGTTTTAAAAATATCACAAATCGCAGTTCAAGAAGAATGCAGAATATGAAAGTAATTTAAAGAGTCACATAAACTGAAAATTTCTCAATATGGAAACATTTATCCTAGCTATAGCCTGTCCGACCGCAATTCTGTCACTGTTTGTCTTTTAATGTGGCTCGAAATATATTTTCTCTGTGTGTATTTAATGCGTTGTTTGCATATTTTTAAAAGCGAGAAGAAGAACTATGTACATATACTTGTATATATACTCGCGGAATAGGAATAAAAACTAATGAGTGGATTTATCAATTGTTGACGAATAAATACATAGATCTGGCCATATCATTGCATATAGTTTAAACCAAAAATTATGAAATTGTTTATCCCCACAATAAAGTATACTTATAATAAAAATATTACCGCAGGCTACTCGGAAGAAAACTTTGCACTACTTTTCAAAGTGATTTATCAGCAATGCGGCCAGAGAAGGTCGTTAATGTTTTTCCAATTGTTTGCAGCAACTAATGCTTCCGTTCCTTGAACATAACGACTTTGCTGCTCACTCAATGAGATGAAACAATTAAAATGTTAGAGAGAAGTTTAATTACGGGTGAAGTCCCGAATCACAGGAAGCCAGTGTAAATGCCATGACTGGCACGAATGCGAAATGGGAGCAGCTATTTGAGCGTAAGTAATTCGGCACGTGCCCATCTCTAATTCAGGCTTATGTATGCCCATGGACGGGATCAAATATTTGACACATTGCTAATTTAATCCTCAATCACACGTGTCAGATTTTTTACCAGTTGTATGCGTCTTTTCAAATCGCTGAGTAACGTTTCATTCACAGACAATTCTGGTACAAATTTAAAAATAAGCAGAATTTTCTCAATCAACAAGAATTTCACGACCTTAAATATGCGAATAGCGCAGAAATTTCTTTATCAACAATCGTTCCACAATATGTTAATTGACCGTTCCGTTCTATCACTCCGGGGAATAGCTTTATTTCCTTCTCCACGACAGTTTTAATCCATAAAGGGTTGTTCATTAAAAAGTCTGCACAAATCTTACGTTTATCAAAAATGTATGTAATTCTTTCGAGAACAAATGATAAACCGTTAGGCATTTTAAAATAACTTTTGTAGTTCACCGACGCTTTTTAATACTAGAAGATACATTCTTCTTAGATATCTTATTTTCATTTTAAGAAAATTATTTCATATAATTAACTTTATGCCTTTATGCTGTTTTCGATCCCTACTGTTTGAGAAGTCCTCTTTTCTTTTGATTAAGAGCAGGAATGCGTTTTTGTAGACTCACAGTAGGAGAATATGTTTGGTAACCTAGAGCTACAGTAACAAAGCGATATCAGAGTGTTTATCATCGCGTTAAGACAAATTCACTCATGTGGAAAATTAAAAAAAAAAACATCTGGGCTATCTGGAAAGCTTTTCCTTATCACTCTAATTGCACTAACCTAGAGAACACACGAATTTAGGCAATTGACGATTCAAATCAAAAGAAAATGCAATTATAGGCCAGTTCAATAGATCTGTTAAAACGTCCCTTGAAATAAAACACAATCGTATATCTAGTGTTGCAGACACGAGCACAAAACTGACACCACCAGTTACCCCTTCGATGATGGGCATAATAATGGAGTTAGGGGAAGCATTTTGGGATACATTTCTTGTGGTTTTTGGTCCATATGCAAAGAAACAGAATTCATGACCAAACAACTGACCAATCGGAAAATCTTTTGTTATGCAGAAAAGCTATCAAGCGACTAAAAACCAGACCATGGCCGATGCCACAACTGATATGTAGAGTAAATAGAGAAGCCTCCCCCTTTTCAGCTTGTAGAAAGACGTCGGATTGTTTGGCGGAATCTGTTTTGGGGAGAAAGAGTTTCGACCGCTGTTGACTCAGCAGCCGATAGAATTAATTGTGCACTAAAACGCCATATGTTACGCAATTGGTCCGCTCTCTGGGCATATAGAAAAAATTAAATATAAATACAAATACAAATAGAGATGTAAATAAATACGGGCTTATGGAATTGTTTGCCCTGTTCGCCCGTGTGTGTGTGTGTGTGTGTTGGTGGGGGAGGGGGGAGTAAATTAATAAAACGTTTTACGAATAGCCTAGCTAGTGTGTTTTAAATCGAGATTTCTGTAAATTGTTGTCGTCTGCTCTCCGTTCGCTGTTCTACGCTGTTCTACCCCCACCGAGTCAGCCTTTACAAGTAAAGTGTGTCCTTTGAAAAGGCAGCCACTGCTGCCACTGCTGCCACTGCAATCTGTCTAAACCACATAACTGAAAGTGGTTGCGTGTATTTCAAATGCCTGCGACATGAAAAATGCCACTTTGGGCTTTAAGTGTTGCCACGTGCCGGCCGTAGTATTGGGCTTGACATTTCTTTGGACGCTCGTGCTCCTCATTTGCCACAATGAGTTGACGTTACGCTGGCGTGAATATTATGCATGTAATTCTGGTCGTTTTGATTTCCAGCATAAAGAGATGTATTTCAGTTAAAAACATCAAAGGACATCAAAGCTTGCAACGCTATTCCAGGCCCAATCCCTCTCGCAATCCCAATTCCATGGACACTTTGAGGGCCATACTTGTACAACATGAAAGCTGATTGCGTCGAGTCCTAGACATTATATCGTGCGGTATAATGATTTGAGAAATGAAGCTAAAGTCCAACAATTTAAGAATGTTACCTGACTCAGCTCTACAAGGCTTCTCTACTCGTATACTTCTATATGTACAAGTATAATGTTTTTTTTTTTTTTTCTAATTTTCAGCTGCAATCTGCTTTTGGTGTACGCCGCCGCCGCCGCCGCCGCTCTATTTTCTCAATCTGGAGCACTACTGGCATAGTGAGCGTTTTGTATACATTGTGGCATCGGTTGCTTATATTGTATAATCTGCGGCTTTGTAGTCGAATTCTTCTGTTTGGGACAGAAACCGCCAAGACCGACAGACAAAAAGACAGACAAACAGACAGATAGACCGAGCGAGGAAGCGAGCGACCTCCTTTGAGAACTAGAGCACTCGCTAGGATTAAAGGAACAACTATATGCATTTGTTTACCTGACGGAATAATGAAAACATCTTTTGCGGATAAGACCATGGAAAAGGGGCCAGTTGAAAAAGTATCTAAATTCTAATCCATTTTAAAAACGGTGGGTAGGCATTGTAACGAAATTACTTAATCCATTGTGTGTGCTGGCTTACCGTCTGCCGCCTTTGAATTCTCGGCTCTCTACATAGCAGCACTACTCGTACAATCTTGATCAGCATTTGCAGACATTGAAACTGTTCTGCCTTAGTTCTAATACTGTTGCTGATGCTGATGCTGATGCTCCTGCCTCTATTTCTGTTCCAGCGTGAGCCTCAGCCTCAGCTTCAGCTTCTGTTGTCTGCCGTCGCACAACAACCCTCAATAGTTGAAGGGTGTGGCATTAACGTTGTTGCATTTTCCTCAAATTAATCCCTGCTGGAATTGCTTTTGATTCCACATACATTCATACTTCATACACTTTTCAAACGATCCTTTCTTTGCAAAACCATGAACAAAATATTTAGCGAGCATTAATAAAGCATGTGTTGATTTTAATGGAATTTTTTTTCTCTTTTTTTTTTTTGGGTGGAGGGCGGCTTAGTAAACGCACACAGTTTATCAGTAAATTGTAATTTGACTTACACACGCAGCTTTGCGACTGGAATCTCAAATACTACCATGACAGCTATTGAATTGTTGGCATTCATCCAAAGCTCTAACAATATATATTTACTGTACAACTATTCAAGCTCCATACAAGTTTCTTTCTACTCTGAATAAGCCACCAATTGTGCATTTTTTATAATCATTTGCTCCTGCATCGACTTGGCAAAAATGTTGCACATCGTACAAGTAGGAAGGAAGCCGTGGCGTTACTTAGGAACATCCTTTGGGGACCTGAGTTGTGTTACGGACCGTTATAGGAGAAATAGCTCAGAGCACCCAGAATTGTCAGCAAATTAGGGAGAACTTGGTCTTCTAACTGAGCTTTCAAAACAGAAACGAGCTCAGCCATGCATATACCATTTTAACTCTAAGACTTTTCGACGAAGTTGATCAGAATTGAGAATAATTCTCACTTATTTTATTCTAAGAATGTTGAGTTGCACTCCCTTTTCAATATTAATTTGACGCTTAAACTTAACAAACAAACCAACAGAAAAACGATACATTTTCTGTTATAATTACTAACTAGAACTTGCTTAATGATTGAATCTTGGCTAAGACCAATTCGTTTCTTTAGCATTGTAGAATAAACTATTTATTGAATTGATAAAGACGAGTTAACGCACTTTCTGTTGCTACCTAAAGACGCGACACTACCGCACCTGCCTATCCCTAAGTCCTGCCGCAAACTATACTCTACACGAACGAGCACTAAAGCTTACTAATCGTCGCAAACACTCACGCCTCAAGAAGAGCATCGTGTGATGATCAGTTGTTGCTTCCAGCACACAACATGCACTCCTTAATGAGGAATTTGAAATTGTGAGTGAGCGCGCACATGAAATAGAAAGCAATTAAAAATAGAAAGCCAGTGTAAAAAATAAAAAGCCCCTTCTCATGTCGAGATCTGTTTATTTAAATTTTTGCTTCTTAACACACTCGTAACGCTGGCGCCGCAGGAAACGCAAGTAAAGTAGACTTCAAATGCCTCTTTTTTATTTTTTTCTTCTGCAACAGTTTTCTGGTTGTCTGGTTTGTGGCAGCATACGAAGTACGAGCTACGAGTGGCATTGCCTTTGCTCCTCACCAGGCTGCAAGTCGCTCGCTTTTGACACATTCGCATACCGGTTTACACGACACCAATCTCGAGTCATGCCGCCAGCGCCTCTCCCAAATGCTATACGATCGGGTTATATGTACATACTCGTAGTGTTTTTTTTTTTTTCTTTGCTGTCGGCCCAACTTCCATCCGAGTATGGATATTGGTAATCGCGCGCTGCCACCTCGCCGTTGTGGCCAAGTTTCCGCGGGCCCAGTCACTTAGTTGCTCATTGAAGACGTCTCTGGAGTTATGAGCCGAAGGTCGCCCAACATTCTGAGAGTGTGTGCGCGCCTGTGATAAACAACTACCATTACCAGCGCTAGTGCCATTGCCACTGCCACTGCCACTGCCACCACCACAACCCGCACCACGTGCACCGATTTGCGCACATTGAGGACAAACCTCGGCAACCCTCCGAAAATGTAAGCCACGTCAAGTGGAAAAAATATTTGACAACGACAACGCTAATGCGAATCGAAATTAATAACATGACCGACCCCTCTTACTGTCAACAACTTTAATATCGATATATTAAAAAAACAAAAAATATTTTTCTACCATCATTTAAGTCTTATACTCGTGCATGTGTATGTATATAGTGTTTTAGTTCAGGTAGCTCTCACATACAGTGGACACTCGATTGGGCGCAAAACTTGATTTTTTTTTAATTCCTTAATTATTGATCAGATACTTCATCTTACACAGATGAGAGTTCTTCCGCTCTTCTTGTGTGTCTTGTCTTTTAACAGCTCTGTTATTAAAAGCCATATACTTCAATCTTATAAGAAACTACTACAGTCATAACATAAGGACATCTTTTCATCATCCCTGTTATTTATATATTTATATATCAACCTCAACAGACTATATTAAAAGCTTCATTATATATGTATTCTAGAGATATTCAAGCTAATCAGAATATATATTTACTGAAGAGTATACAGGGGTAATTGATCTCAGATTGTGAGTTTAATTCAATCGGCACATTACCAAATGCAGGATATTCGCATCATCGCAAATACATTCCATATATAGTAAGACTTGTCCAAGTCCTATGAATAACATTAAAACATTCCTGTTAAGACCATAAAACTGACCAAAGAACCGGCTTTATTTAACGACTATACTACATAGTTACATACTATAACAAATAGAATCTTTGATCAAGTTTAAGTATAATCATTATTGTGAAATGACTTAGAATTTATCTGGGCACTTACGCTTGGAATATTATCACTATTACAAACTTGCTCCGATAGCAATCGATCCCGAATTTCCCACGCAAATATGCTGGGGCATTCCCTTTTGTAGTCGGCAATTTTTTGTACGACGGGCGTTGTGGCTACGCGAGGTTTGGAACCTCCTATTGCTCGAGGTTTTATTGATCCGGTTTCATAGTATCTACAATGAAAGAAAGAGAATGTGTTTATGCCAAATGTAAAGCGTATATTTAAAAAGCAAGCATATTTTTATAAGTACATATAATTATTATTTATAATCCTCATTCCCCAATTACTTCATTCCATCACCGTATAGTACAACTTCAATTATTCTAAAAAAACATAATGAATTGTTTGCTCAATATTAATTAAATGAGCGGCAAAGTGAAGTTGCTTCAATGTTTTGTTGAGTGCCACTTCTGATCTAATTTGCATATCAGACAAATGATTGCCATGAGGCATGATCATTAATCAACCTTGAAGCGGCATAAGAAAGAAAAGAACTAGCAAGAGACCGGCCAGTGCGATATCGATCAAAACCTTTAGATTTGTTCTACACGTTCTAATCCTTAATAGCGACCTAACTTATAACCGCTGGAAAACCCTTGTGCTGCTATTTCTTTCTACATATGTAAGAATCATCCTAAAGTGCTATATAAACTGCCAAATAAAGCGAGCCAGAGGCAGTTTTAACCGAGCTAGAGAGAGAGATAAATTCGCAATGCCTTCTTCTGGTATATAACTGGGCTATGTGGCGTATACGTAATGAGAATACATGTGAAAAGTTGGATGTTAAAGCTAATTAATTTCAAAAGGGACAAAAGGGACCAGCGACAAGAAATTTATAAGCGTTCTAGAAATACAATGCATACGATATTAGATATATATACTATATACTATATACTATATATTTAGTGGAAGCCGGTAGACAGACAACGGAATTTTTCAATCTGGTGCCTTTACAGGTTCTTCAGTAGGTTGGGTGTACTTAATTTGTAAAAATAAAGCACACTTCTAGACTTAAAAGGATATTAACAGAGTCCTGCCTTTGCTTACCCTGCCGCCGGCATAATTAGGTACACCTAAGAAGCAGGTACACCGAGTAATTAGTATCAAGATTCAGACCTGTCCTTTCAACTCTATATCGGAAAGCATATTTGTCTTCAATTAACTGTTAGTGCATATTATTTTCTTTCCTAGATCTCTCACAAATAACTATCGTGTTCAGGTTCTTTGCATGATCCAACAGACATAGGAAGACTGGAGATTGTAAAAATAGCCAAATTTATTAGCTGATGTCCATTCCAATGAACTTACTAACTAACGTAACCTAACTATCGTGTGAGTTTTCTAGTCTGTAGAATTTCTTCAAAGATATTTCACTTTTGTACCGACTTCATCAACTCACTAATGCTAAAAAGGACTTCAAGCTTTTCGGATTTTCCGCATTTTAATTATTCAAAAGAGCCGCTTTCCTTACTTCAATACTTGATTGGATCTACACTAACACTAAAAGCTAAATAAATAGGCACAGTCTTATCTGGCCGAATCCGACATTTGTATGGACCGCCGGTTGTGGCATTAGACAAACAGACTAACCCACTAGCTTGTACGTGTATATGAAAACAGAATATCGTTCAGATAGATGGGTACAAATATGACAGACTTGGTTGATCAGCTGATTGAAACACATTCCATTCAATTCATTTGATTTGCGGCGCCTTTTACTTTGATGCCATGCGAAGTCAGCAGAGCGACTTAATTTAGTCGAAGCCGAAGTCAAAGCCAAAGCCGAAACCCCGAAGCAATCTCACACTCAAACGCATTCCAACTGCATATAACATTGACATGTGTCAATGGCTATCACTAATCGCACTTAACTCTAATATTGTGGCATCGATTTCAAAACAACCGTCGAACTTGTGCGACAGTCAATCCTCTTTTTCCGTTGTAGCGAGCTGCCGGTTTTAATTATTTATTTAATGGTGATCAGATTGGTATTACAGGCGATGCATTGCCAAATACAGCATGATGGACTCCTGTGGACGTCTAGAGCCTCATTTCTAAGCCAAAATACTTCCCCACATTTAATCACCATTAAGCAATCGCTTTTCAGTCTATCAGACTTTTCGCTTTCATAACGAAAGGGGAGTAGGATAGAAGTCCAAAAACTTGGGTGGGAATAGTGGAAGGCCGTAACTATCACTTTTTTGTGATAGTAAAACTTAAATATGAATGCAGAAACATGATCAGGATTCTATATCCAATTTCAAATAGAATACAATAGGGTAGGGTTCTATCGTTAATATCTAATGCTCCCAAAGGGACTTCAAAGAACGTATTAATGGGGAAAAAGACTACTGATAATGTTGATTAAGTTTTGGTGAACTGTGCTGTTTTATTTGAATTTAGATATAAAGAGGAGTTTTCTAAAAGTAAATCTAGAAAAGAAATGGCTCAAGATGAAGGAAGAACGCGATTTTTAATATAAGATGCATAAAGGAAAACCTCTGAGTACCAAGAAATGGCCAAGATGAAGATAATTGCGGATACCAAGACCCAATGTGGGGCCAGGATCAACAGATCAATTGTCCGCTTATTCACTTTCAACGAGACGAAGCATCCTAGCTCTGTAACTTGGATAGGAATAGCAATTGCCTGGGGCTTTTCAATTCTCATTGCCTGATTTTATATAGTCAACAGTTATTTTAAAAGTAGAATGAATGGAATTGGAAGACATGTTAATGAAAATCCTGCTTATTGAATGAAGTGTAGAATGTAGAATGAATTGTGTAACAGTACTTTTTATGCGTGCAATTACGGATGAAAGATGCACCGAATATAGATTTCTAAGGCAAGTCTTGGAGCAACAAGGACGTGCTTTAGATGAAGATTAATATGGAGCTGGAGAAGAAGGCACAGTATGTTGCCGCTTTACGGATGCCAGAGTGAATTCTAAACAAAAACAAACTTACTTTCACGGAGATAAACACTCTTCTAAACACTCTCAACTTCGCCAATCTTCTAAAACTACTCCCATTACAAAGACATCGCCCAACAACAACTACATTCACTTAAAGTCAAAGAGGGTTTTTTGTTCATACACATTTGTTAAATATATCCAAAAGTGTTAATCCATTCTGCCAGCGTCCATTGATTCTTGATGCACAGTGGGCTACAAAACAATTAATATTTATCCATTGCCCTGTTTGTTGCAAACATCACAAGATCATTATAACACTTATTTGATCATTATTTAGTGGAGAACAAAACAAAATGAGAAAAAAACACAAAAAAAAATGTATCAACAATATTGAACTCTCACCTGCCCAATATTTTGCTAACGCAGCCGTTGGAAACTTGAAGTATTCGCGAAATATCACATGGACGCGCGCCGGAATGAGCTAACTCGACGATCTTTTGTCGCGTGGAGTCGGGCAAGGGACGACCGTTGACATAGACGCCGCCTAACTGATTAATGCCGCTATGTCCCGCTGTGGAGCAGCCGAACAATGCACTCTGACCGACCGACGAGTGGGGATGCCCGTGCATAATGTGTTCCGTCGTTAGCATCATCTTTGAATGCGATTTGTTCTTGTTCTTGTTCAGTTGATGTGTTGTGGTTGTTGTTGTTGTTATTGTTGTTATTATTGTTTATGCTGCTGCTGTTGTTGCTGTTGCACAGTTCTTGATTATTCGGGGGACTGATTCGAAATGCGAATTGGCCTGCGGTGTGTTGCGTGCTTAGTTTGCTCAGGTATCGGGATTTTTAAATTGACTAACTTTATTTTGGATACCTTTCGTGTTTGCTTTTCGCTTTAATTTTTACGTTTTGTTTTGTGTTTATTTATGCGTTTTTTCCTTTTACCTTTTCTTTTCTTTTTGTTTTGTTTTTTGTTTGTTTTAAATAGAGAATTAGAATTGAACTTGACTCTGCACTGTCAAATGAGTGGGCGTCGGCATCACGGTATTCATTTCGTTGTTGGCTTGTTGACTTTTGTACTTATGTATTTGGTTGTTCCACTTCTACACACTAAAATAAACTAACATACACTACATACATTTAGTTTGTTGTGGTTCCGACTTAGTGGATCGATTTCGGCGGGCTGATTAACGTTTTCTTCTCATTCTTATTTTGTACTATACGCCTAGGGTTGTTGGTTTGTATTTTGTATTTTTTTTCGGACCTCTTTTATTGAATTGAATTTCTCTCCCGATTTTTGTTTATAATTTTTTGATTTGCTTTTCAGTTCGATCTGCGCGCCAGAAACTTCTCTCGTTGCTGTGCTGATTCAGTGTTGTTATTACTATTATTATTGTTATTATTGTTGTTATTGGCGTTATTGGCGTGCACAGCGGAGTCCGCCGGATTCCGGAATCCGACAGCACCTCAGAATGCAAGTCTCGCCACTTATTCGGATTCAATGTGTATGGCCAGAAAGCCTAACCCGCGTCGGCGTCAGCGTGTCGGTGTCAGTTTGGCCAGCACAAAATATTGTACAACTAACTGGTTTCAGTGGCCGCCGTCGTGTTTCAGCGGTGGTAGCAGCGCGCTAGCGAAGCGAAACGATAATGAGCTGCTCAAGCGAAAAAACACGCCAACAAACGTGCTTACCACTGAAAGTCGGTTGGCAACGTCGGCAGCAGCAGCAGCGGCAGGCGTGCACACACACACGCACAGGCGGACGTTTGGCTCGGGCCGCCGAGAGAGTGTGCGTTGGAGCGAGAGGTGTATAGAGTGGCTCGAACGGTGGTAATAAAAAGCCAACGTGCGGCCATTTTGAATGGAATATGGAATGTGTGCGAGCGAGAGAACTGTTGTGCCAACGCGTCTGTGTTGCTGTTGCTGTTGTTGGATGAGCTCGATGGCGACGACACAAGGTTGCGCAAATATTAATGCGAGCGAAAGTGATGCAGATAGGATGAGGGAAAGGGATGGAGATGCTCTGCCACATGCCGGACCGGTGTGTAACACGCAGAATCATCCCAGCTATTTATAATCACTGGAAATCATGAACAACTTTAACTTTATGAATGCGCGATGATAATAACGGTAACGGTGGCAAATAAAACTACATACACGCACAAATGAATGGGACAAGTGGTAGGGGAGGGGCGACAGAGCGAGGGGGAGACCTGAATATGTATGCTCAAATTTGTGTTTGCTAGTGTGTGTTTTTTATTTTCTTTTTGTTGTTGCTGTTGCTGTTTCTTCTGTTGCTTATGCGTTCATACTCGCACACTCATACACATACATACATGTATGGCAAGCACACGCACATTTCTACAAATACAGTCAAATACACAAAACACACTCGCATAGGCATAAACACACACATTCAGATGTATGTAGGCATGTATGTACATACATACTACATATGTATGTACATATATATACAGCACGCAGCCATTACAAGGTTTGCTTTGTTTGCGACCACGAACCAGGAATGGAACCCAACAACTGAGCGCAGCAGCAGCAGCAACAACAGCAGAGGCTCGAACAATTATAATCAACAAATAGGTTCTAAAATAAATCCCTCGCACAAAGCAACTTTCAAACGATGTGCTAGACGTGCACCACCTGCCTTCCAACAGAAGGAAACGCTTTAAAATAATGCTTCTAGAAAAGTATGGAGATTAAAGCTCATTGCTAAGTATGCATTCATAAGATGTGGTGCTTCATACAAGTCGTATACTTAATATTTTAGCATCAATGTATATACAAACGCATATAGCTCTAGACTTTTCTAATGTTTTAATGACTACTATAGTACATTCGAGCATGCATATATGTATATTTGTTGCTTTAAACACACAAACATATGTATATCATCTTTTAAAATGAATATGTACAATGGTTAGTTCATATATCAAAAGATACTTCTTAATATCCTTTTAAATCCTGAATGGGTACCTAGATCATATCTTTAGAGATATATTTAATTCTGCCGCTCAAACCAACATTAGATTTAGGGATCTATTGTTTTCAATTATGTTAGCATTATATGCCTTAAATATATTTGTAACTATCACATAATTATTAAAATACTAAAATTGTAATCAAATTCCTAGGCTTTTAATTATAATTTCAGTTGTCTTTTTTAAATACAGAAAAAAGAGTAACGCAGATTCAAGATATTCAAGATTCAAGATATTCCTAAAATCCCCATTCAGAAATAAAACTCAATGTGGTTTCGGTTAACTTTTTAAAATTTTTGCTCAATTAAAGCTCTTGCGTGCTTGATTCGATGCTACGAACATAACTCCAATTCCTAGTACAACCTTTAATGGTTACAAACAACCTATTCCCATTTCAATCTGATCGTATGAATGCAACATAATTAGATTGCGTGGGCTGGAAACGACCATACACAGACGCATCTGATATAATCACAAGCCTTTCCATTAAATTTAATTACACGACTGAAGACAAAGCACAACAAATTGGCTCATCAAGCCGAGAATGGTTTTCTTGTGTTAGGTGTGTGTGTAACTTCAATTGAATTGGCTTTCAGTTGAAAAATATATTGCTAGTTTCATTAAAATGCGTCACAATAAAAAAATCAATACAATAAATGAACATATGTATGTACATCTTCGAATTTGAATCGAAGTTATAATTCTTAGATGCAGTATTGTTGCATAAAACTATATTATTAATATTGCCTCTGAGATTATTAAAAATATATATTTATATATAGAAATAATAACATTAAATGATGCAAAATGTTAAAATAAGAGTAGGTTATAGACTGTCTTAAACAATATATTTGATATACCTAAAACATAGTATGAATATTTCTAATCAATATCATAACAAAAGTCTCCAAAATACTTCAAAAGCAAATATAAATATTCGGCTCTAATTTGTGAAATTTACGAAACCTTCTTTGGAAATGATGACGCATTTGCATAGAAATGAAAAAATCATAGGAATTCAGAGCATGTCCGGTAGGAATACTATAATGTTAGGGGTGTTAAGCATCTTAGTTTTGAACGATTTGCTCAGTACAAGCAATACCAATCAAAATGTCTTTGCTATTACGAATAAAAATATTGTTAAAAACTATGTATATTTTACATACATTACATAACTATCCATCATTCGTATGCATCCAATAATACGTGTTTCAAAAATTGATGCCGAAAATGACGTTAGTACTTATCTTACAACATCATTATATTGTTTGGAATGAGTCCCACTGATTGTCCAAATTAAATAAAGTCCTCAATCGCACCACGCAATACGAACGGTATGCGTCCAAAAATTGCGCTAAAACACGAGCAAATTTCCACCACCAACTCCGTATTTGTACGGCCCACTCCATCGAGACCACCCACCCATATAACCACCCAACCACCCACCCACTCACTCACTCGCTTACTCACTTGTGTGCACAGCAGTCTGAAGAGGAACCCCAATTTCAACATGCTGCCCGACACGTTTTTGGGATTTTTGAAGTCGCACACAGGCAACTGCCGCCACACTCTCCATTGAGCCCACCCGGGAACATTGCGCCGCCGACATAGCTGCCTCAGCTTCACAGCCACCGCCACCGCCACAGCCACCCGTCATAGTCGTCAGCAATGATTTCTTCAAAGGGAAACTTTGAATTCATTTTGCGTGCGACCAAATTTCATGGAGAATTGTGGAGGTGACGAATTTTAGGAATGTGTGAAAAATGTTAATTTATTTTATATTGTAAGAAATTGTGGCTGCTATATCGGTCGTACTTGTATAGCCTATCCAACCACCACGGGCACGAAGGAACAATATTGTATAACATGGAGCCCCCATCCTCCCAAGATCCCCATTCACCCTCCCTTACATTCAAACATCATGCTGTACAATATATACATACATATAAAAAGTCATTGAGGCTAAGTTTAAATTTAAAATAATGGTAGACAAAAATACAAACACTAGACCAAACACCACCCATACATACATACACACTTGTACTATGTACATACATACATAGTATGGTATGTAGTCGTATGTGTGTTCATATCAATGTCAGCCGCATTTTGCTGTGTCATAACAGCTCCAACAATAAGAACAACAACGCCAGCGACACAACAATAACAACTGTATAATTCTGCAACACTAAACTCCAAATGGAAGTGCAAATAAAGGCGAATTCAGACAGACAGACAGACAGACAGATAGATAGACAGAAAGACCAAACCATACGAGACTGTGGTCCCTACACGCATGTTGTACACATTCGTTACTTAATATAGCATCAAATGCCCGGCGGAGGCGTGTTTCACGCACGACACGGCACGGCACGAGCAACGGCAACGGCAACGGCATCGGCATGGCCAAAGGAAGGGAGTGTCAGTAGGCAGGCCCATTGATTAGCGCTGTCAACAAATCTTTGTCGATCCCGAGGTGCGGACCAAAACGAACTTTTATACAACAGCTCCATTCTTTTCATTGTGCGGCCGACGAGAGGTAAACAATAGGTTATACACACAATATTCGCCAAAAATTTAAGCCGTCGAAACGTGGGCTGCCTTCTCATTGATGCGTAATGCACAACCACAGGCTCTCTCCTACCTTGAGCCGCCCGACCTATAGTGCGAGTATATATGAGTTGTGTGGCGAGTCAAGCGAAAAAAACTAAAATGTAAAAAGGTACGACGAATAGAGGGCGAGTGAGAGAGATAATTTAGCTTAGATAACAGATGAAGACAAAAAAAAAATATAATAATAATAAAAACCGCAGCCGACAGACAGCAAATGGGTTTGCAACAACAAAAGAGGTCAAAAAAGTAGTTACACTAAACACACGATATAAGGCAGCAGTCGACCGACCGACGAACAGACCGACCCGACCCGACCAACCGACAGACAGACAGACAGACAGACAGGCAAATCGGACCGAACGGACCGCAAGGACGGCCGGCGGCCACTCGGTTAGACAAATGTACACATGTACATACATACATACATACATACATACACAGATATAGGAGGGCACACAGGCGGCGTTTTGACAGTCAGCCCTACTTAGGGGTGCGCTGAGCCTACCCTCGAAGTAAACAATTAAATGAAATGATGCATTGTGTGTGGATTTGTGCATGAATAGGAATTGGAAGTACTACGAGTAGAAGGGCAGCGAGCTTGCTCGCTTGTGTCAGTGTCTGCGACTGCGACTGTGACGGCGACTGTGCCTCTGCCGCTGCCTCTGTCTGTGTTTGTGTTTCTGTGCCGCTTAAACGAAAGTGGAAACAACGCGCGATGCTTTCAAACACACACTAACAAATACACAAGTACATACCTACAAGTACATATGTACATATGTGTGCGTAGATACATACAAGTAAATATATAATAGCAAAACTTTTGTATTCAAGCGTGTAGAGTACATAATAAGGTATTGTCGAT